CTCCTGTGGCCTTTCGCACACAGAAGGTCGAAAAGATGTGAGGGGATGTCGATTCCCTCACATGGCCTGCTGCTAAGCGATCGGCAAAGAACTTGTCGATCGCTATCACTTGTTCACGAGGCATTGGCCACTGTTCATGACACAATATTTCGACCCCGGTTTGAGCTCGATCTCGTGTCGAGTGTCTTTGTCCTTAGGCAGCTCGCAAGGCACGGATTCGGGGAACACATCCTTGAATTCGATCAAATCCTTATACAAAGGATTTTCCTGAAGCGACTTCCAGGATTGAGATTCATATATCTCAATCCGAGTCTTCTCATCGATGACACTTTCGTCCATCGATGAACTGCTGAGAACCCTCTCGGTCTCAGTAAACACCGTTCCCGATCGAATATCGGTAACGTACTCGTCCTCCGCGACGAGTACACAGATCTGCTTGACTTTGCCACTACGCAGATCACGCAAGAACCGTTTCGGTTCTAGCGTCGGCAGTTGAGTTATCTCCGAAGTTAACTTCGGAGGCGCAACCAGATCAAGCGTGTAAGCGCCTACGCTTCTTCCGTCATCAACCAAGACATTCACTGTCTCGATTACTTCCTGGGAAGTCACATCCACAGGGTCCAGGAGAGCTTTCTCCACAATGTAGTGATCATCTACATTGTGTTCTTGTACAGTCGTGCTAACGACCTTACCACAAGTGATGCCATCGCACTCACTCGTAGTACACCCACGTGAGTATGGGCGTTCCAAGATATTCGTCAGGTGGTTATATAAGGAACAAGTGGCAGGTATCGTAACCGATCGATACTGCCAGATCACCCTTGGCTCGTATCTCCTGAGCCATGGAAACCCTAAGATGACATCAAACTTGTCATCCAGATTGAGTACGATGAAGTCATCCTCGTACTGTTTATCTTCCAATGTGTAGTGGATTCCGACTACACGTTTCTCTACAGCGATTAATGCGCCTGTCGCTAGGCGCACCGTTTTCCTTGTTGGAGGTGTCTCCCGCTCCACGAAGTTGATACTTCCAGCCTCTAGTGACTGGCGACGAACAAAAATGTTCGACTCCCCACAGTCAACTAGGGAGCGAAGTGACAAGTCCTTTGTCACATCCAATGTCAAGGTGATGAGGGACACTTCATCACCAGATGCAGATAGACACAGAGACTGTGTGTCGGGAGCAATCTTCGTCAAGAGATTTGAAAATTCTCTTGATGTTGCCGAATCAGCAGGGCGCTCCGCCCCTACTGACCCCGACCATTTTTTGATGTTCCGCTTCTCTGTTGCGGCTTTGCAATAGCAACGGACCCTTGTCCTCCAGTTCTTCTAACTGGTAGACGGTTACTGCGCTCAGCACCATGGAGTTCAGAGTAGGGGATACTACATTCGTATGCATAGTGTCCCAGCTTATGACATCGATGGCATCTCGCCATTCGCTTGTCGTTCACAGGGCGAGGTTTCTCGCCCTCGACATGACAGAGGTCTATTGGTTCTGGACCTTCGACCGCTGATCGTCTTTGAGGACGATAGGGGGTCAACGTAGTGTGAGACTGTCTCACGCTATAAGCCTTCTTGCTCCGCTGCGAATATTGCTTCGGAGAGCGTCTTTAGCTCCCCGCGAAACAGGTGGTCCCTGACGGGACCATCTGCAAGACCTTGAAAGAATGATTGTGATCTTCAAAAACTCACTCACAGAGTTTACTACCATGCAACTTGCAAGGTAGCGTACATGTTGAGCGTAAGCGTAAACCTTACGCTTACCCTGTTTGATCTAAAGGAGTTGAGAGAGAGTCATGAAATCTGTCCTGGGAGGCTCAAACGTCTCACTTAGCAGGGTCTTGAAGATCGTCTAACGACCCGAACACGTTTGGGTCGAGTAACTAAAGATTCAGGGCCCAACTCCTGGCGTCCCCTGCCAAGTTACGACTGAGCAAATGCGACTTGCATTCGCTCATTGTCGATGCGACGGTCTTCGATGACACCGTCTACTTCGACGAACCATCTTAACAGGGAGTCGTTCCTCGACTTCCGTGATACTTGTATATCTCTTGCTTTAAAGACTCCTGTCGACGCTCACGAGTCGGCTCTTCGGACTGAGACTGTTGTTGTCTCAGTGCTTCGGTCCGCTGGTGATCTTGTTATTTCAACAAGGTAACCTGCGCTAGCGACTCATCAATTTCTTGCTGCAAGAACTTGCTGATGACGACATGTTGCTGGTCCCTATCCCTTGAGGATAGCATGGCCCATATGGCTTCCTCGCCAACGGTCGAAGTCATTCGTTCGATCGCACTCCATTCGATGTCGCTCAAATGAGAGTAGCTTTCACGAGTTTCGTAAAATCTGTCGCCGTCTACATCGTCCAACATGTTCATGTTGGGCGATGCGAGTGTGGTCCTTGGACGGACTACAAAGTGCTACCAGGTGTAACGGGGCACCGACGACTACGTACTGGACTATCAGTACGGAGTTTACCTTTCACTGATAACAGTGAAGGTCAGTGCCCAGCTAGGTGTAAACACTTACACAGAGGAAGGTAACGACTAAGGAAAAGGCTCTAGTCGTGGTAAAAGTAAAACTGTTATTTAATACAATTAAGTCCTATCACTCCTTGAATCTCTGTTCGTCCTGACTTAATTATATTAATCTCACTAAACGTATGATGACGTCTACTCACCACCCATTGCGCGCGTCTAGCAGCGATTGGTGGATTGATATCATCACGATATCAACCAATGAGTAGACCCTTCTATCGTCCCAACAATATCATCATCATCCTTTGTGATATTGTTGAAAGAAAAGTCAACGTAATATTCTTTATTGTCATTTTATCCTTATTGACAATATCATGTAACGGGCTACCCCGTTACATGCTGAGTCGACGATTTGTATGAGATCAGCTGTCCATTAAGCTGGGGTAATGCAAATGAGGTAGAGAAGGACGGGGAGCCACACAAGTAGCTTCCATGAAGTTAAAGTAGAATCTAATCATCCACTTGTGTGCAAAGTGTCTATCTACCTTATGATACAACGCCTGCAAGCAATCCTTTACTGCATCATCCGGCTTATCTGACGGTCCGACTGAACCATATCTACAATATCCGATCACGCAAATGCAAATATTGGCACTCGATATCAATAGGTTGGAGCTCCATACGCATTCATGTTGCGTTTAAATTCATTCCCCAAAGCATCCCGTCCCTTCGCGAAGCAGAAGAAAGACGAGCAGGTACGAATCCCTACGCTTCATTGACGACCTGGGGTGGCGCATGCGTCGCAAACAGAGATCTACACTCAGTGATACGTCGATAGCGACGGGTCCACGTTGAAAGCTAAAAGAGTGCATGTGGTAGTGTACTTTCTGGGTGCAAGCTTGGCATGAATGTGAAGTAATTGAGCCAGCGAGCTCTCGGTTTAGTGTATGGTCTTGTGTGATTGCAGCAGCGAGCTTCTTGCAGACAAAGAGTCGGATTGACACAAAGCAAACGTATGTACAAGATCCTGGTCACGAGCTGACCTCTTGCACTCGGACTTGGATCCATTTTCTGAGAAGCTGACGGCTGAAGGATTGTGTGTCCGGGCGACAAGCCGATAAGAACAGTCTGAAGCCTTAGGCATCTGTAGTTGCGCATAGTGGAATTTGCTACTTGCTACGCCGGTCCTTTCCTAATCTGTCAGACTAGGAAAGGACCGGCGTAGCAAGTAGCGGTTTGCTTTCTGCTGTGACGCTCCAACATGTATTGCTCTTTACCTTTGTAGTATTGCCCTCAAGCAGACAGGAGAAAAGTCTCATGACACCCAGCTTAGTCGCAAATAAACTGACCTAAGGTCAACTAAGATAAGCACAACGCGGCACGTCTTTGACTTTCGTCAGTCTGCAACTGCTGCAAGCAACGATCCTCTTAGCCTGACTTATGCCATATCAAACAACAAACATGTATATTGACACCTTGCTTACTACTCATTGGGCGTCTAGCACTGACTGGTGGGTTCATCGGTTGATATCATGGCTTTTGCCAGCCGACGTGCAGTGTGTCACCAACTGCTAAGAAGATCACCTGCCAAGACAATCTCTACATCGACATTTTTATGGATGTCGCTCACATGCAATTGGGTTACTCTGCCACACTAGCGGTGCTGCGTCGATGCAAAGTCCACAAAGTTGGCTGAGTAAATTAAGTGAGCATGGCATAAGGTTCCCTTCTTGTAGTCCACCCGCATATCAACGTGTACCTTTCTTGCCACTACGACTCATGATCTCCGTCATAGAAGCTTCCAATTGACAAACACGTTGCGTCGTATGTAAAATGTGACAATTCATGAGAAGCAACGTCTTTGTTCATTTTGCCGCCATCCGTCTCTATCAAATGGGACCGACCTTGGAAAAGTGACCGACGGTCATTTCGTCGTTGACCGGCACTGATGCAAGTGTCTACATTCAGGTTTGTCATTCGGGTGATCCAAATTGTTGCACATAGTGTCGACTTTTTGTGTCTGCGCCTGCCTCGCGCAGCGTGCATATGCATGTATACCTAGATTATCGCATGCAGGTATGAGGGAGACTGTATGATGCATGGGAAGGGTCAATGTAGTGTACGCTCCGGCGTGAGCGACCAAATGGATAGCTCGGATACTCATCTCATCCAAGCAGTGATTGTATCTGCTGTAACGACGGTCAGTCCTTTTAGTCTGCAGAACGCTCTGCGAAGTAAAGCGACGCTGATCTTCTGAGATGAAGCGCCAGAGCAGTCACATCGATTTACCGCCAGCATCGTCTCAATTCATTAACGTTTTCCATTCGTTATATTTAAGTTCAATCTACACAGCTTAAGATGGTCTTTACCGATGCCGGCATGCCTGGCTCGGTTAGAGCAGCAAGAAAGACATGGCGGGTCAACGTACTAGTTGCGAAGACGTCAGCCTTCTCAAGTCTTCAGGTGACAATCAAGCATGCTGATACGCCGTGCTCGCTGCCCAACAAGCGGCCAAAGAAGTACTGATTAAGTAGGCGTATGCACGGAGTCAAAGCCGGGAGCTTTCTCTACGCGATAGTCTTCGTCATACAATTCGACGTTCTTGCCACGGGGTTCGTAGCCGAAAAACAGCACGATAGCTGACACCACCATGAGTAGCCCGCCGAACACCCACATGATGCCCTCCAGAGACACGTTCCAGCTGCCAAACATGGAAGCACACAAGTATGGACCGCTAAACGAGCCAATGCGGCTGAAACCTGATGGGTACGCTGCTCCCATTCCACGGATAGCTGTCGGGTAGTTCTCTGGAGTGTACGCGTACACGCAGCCCCACGCGCCAAGCATAAAAAAGGACGTAAACGAGCCGGTGATCATCACAGGCGTCTTGGTCGCGTCAACGTAGCCCATGGCAATAGCAGACAGGAAGGCGCCAATTAAAAAGACTACGAGCGTTTGCTTGCGGCCAATGACTTCCACAAGACCCGCAGCAGCAAAGTAGCCTGGCAACTGAAAAGCCGTGATAATGAGGATCGTCTCCCACTGGGCATTCATGTCGAAACCCTTGAGCGAAATCAGCGTGGGCAAGTAAATAAAAATGGCAAAGTACGACATGGAGATGCCAAACCAAAGCGTCCACAAGACAATCGTGCGGACGCGGAACTGGCGTCCAAACAGCAGACCAATCCGTTTGATATGGGAAGTCGGGAGCTGAGGCGGGACGACCGCCACAGACTCAATGCTCTCAACGTCCGTCTTCGGGTCGTACGGTTCCAACCCGTGCGCCCGTTCGATCGCCTCGACGATCGCGACAGCTTCGTCATAGCGGCCAACACTAGCCAGCCACTTGGGCGACTCGGGAATGTACAAACGGATCACAATCGCATACACCACAGGGGCACAGCAGATAAAGAACGTCTCGCGCCAGCCAATTTTCGGCGCAGCAGCGAACGCCATGACAACGGCCATCATGCACCCCACAGCCCAAAACGACTCGAGCAGCACAATGATCTTGCCACGTGTTTTGCGCGGCGACAGCTCCTGCACAAGCGTCGACGCAACCGGCAGCTCGCCGCCAAGGCCAATGCCCGAGATGATGCGGGCGCACGTGATCGACGTGACGTTCCAGCTCAAGGCGCAAAAGCCGAGACCAGCAAGGAAGAGCACGAGCGTGACCATAAAGATCGGCCGGCGGCCGTACTTGTCAGCGAGCGTGCCAAAGGGAAAGGAGCCGATAAAGGACCCGACAAAGACCGCACCACCGAGGAACGACGCCTGGGGTGGCGTCTGGGGAATGTCCTGGCGAATGAGCTCGGCACAGTACGTAAAGATAAACGTCTCCATCGAGTCCATGGCCCAGCCAAAGCCCGTGAGGAGAATGAGCTTGAGGTAGTACCACGAGAGGCCCATAAAGACGCCCGGAGCGCGCTCGCCAATGGCGTCAATGCGCTGCGTGATGCGCTGCACGGCCTCGACGGTATCTGCGGGGCCACTCATCGCCCACCACCGCAGCAGCACTGACGTCACGTTCGACTCAACTTTTTTAAACCGCAGGCGCTCCAGTGTCCAGTGGCGTTCCTCGACGAATGGAAAACTGAGCCACGAGGCACTGCGCGGTGGAAACGACTCTCGAGATGGTATCCTGCGGCGCAGAAGCAGGTGCAGCCACTTGCGTCGCGGTACCAACTGCCAGACTTGATCGGCGTTTCGAACCCCACGTGTCGCGCGTGATGGCCCCCGGCGTCGGTTCTGACAGCGACTGCGATGGGCCGTCCAGCCAGCCGTCCGTCCGGCTCTTCCACGCGGGACACGTCTTTACGGCGCGACCTCTTTGTGGGCTTCTGTGCAGTGACTGACCTGTCCCTGCGTCGCGGGTGGAGGCGGTCCACCCACCCTCAAGTCTGTCCGCACGGGACGCGTCCGTACTGACCTCAAGTACGTTACCGCACGTTAAAGCGCGCGACCAGGTCAAGGCTTGTCTGTCCTGTTGCGACACGCGTAGCGCGTGCTGTGAACGATGACGCGAGGGACGTGTTTGACAGGAACAGTGCGTGGCAAGCGCTGTTGCTATTGGGCGTCCCCGGTCCTGTGATTGAAGAGAGGTCAAGAGGAGGGAAGGCAGCGATGGATGGATGGATGGAGGTGGGTGGATGGCTGCACCACAGATGGGTGGAACGTGACCGCGACGTGGCGACTCGGACGAAATCATGGGAGGCGTTCGCACGGAAACTGACAAGGTCTTGATCCGCGCGCATGGGAAGCAGACGAGGTCGACGAGGAGAGGGCAGTAACGCTGGGACTGATGGGTGGAGGGAAAAAGGATCGAGCAGAGCTGAGTCGGGGCGGCTACGTGCAGACAGACGGACGAGATGCCCCAATGGGCGAAGACCTTTCATTCGCTACTACGGAAGACAGCAAACAAGTTGTCGCCATGATTGTTGAGCCCGGTCACACATGCGAAAGCGCTCAAAGTGTTACGGAGCAACGCTCAAGTGGCGATGGAACGTGTCGCCGATTGTCGTCAGCACAATGCAGTTGGGTACATCGAGGACCATGGAGATCGCTGTGGATAAAGAGGCGACTGCACGATCCCCCTAAAGTTTCCGCACGGCAGCCAGCAGCGCACTCACCGTGCACGTTCGCGCAAGCCATCGTCCAGAAGAATGTATGCTGGCCACCCGGGGAGGGGAATGATCATGTCGTGGGGTGTGACGGTGGCGCCTCCTCGATCAATGGTGCCTCGATAACGTAACAAAAAGGCAAGGCCACCGATCGACACGACATGCGAGCCTTTGTACCGACTTGCAGACGGATGTGCAAAGCACTAGCGATAACGACGTCGTCGACTAGGCGGTGTGCACAGAGCCCCCGCGCTTGAGCCACCTCCTCCTCTTAGAGCGAGGCCACTATAAATGAAGAGGGCATCCAGCATCAAGTACGTTGTCTTCGGCTAATTGACGAGTCTGCACCTTCATGTACCGCCTTCTCTACTCTCACGTGTTACATCGTAGACTTGGGAGCTAAGAACGCAGCGGCTAAAGGTTGTTTGTCAGAGGCAAGCAAATGCTTTTCCAAGACACAAGAGGGCATGCTGTGGTCAACGATAGCGCTTTTCGACGGTCTGAGACACGGTAGATATGCTGCGATGCAACGTAGCAGCACTCATGGATCACTTACTACTCATCTATCGACAAGCAACAGAGCAGCACTAACCAGGCATCAATATTGACATGCATACCGCCTCTGTATTTGTTGTGTTTGACAAGCACCAAGCACGTAACTAAGGGCCACCCTCTTCGCTCGGCGGCATAAGCAGCTCCCTCTCTTTCTTCTTTCGTACCAAGCACATTCATGTCGTCAGTTTCGTGTTGTAGCACACTCATGTCGTCAGTTTCGTGTCGTAGCACCGACATGGTCAACCGTCATCATTCGTTTCTCTTGTCCGTGTCTTCAGCACAGCAGCAACAAACAACAAGTTACGTCATCGCATAACGGCCCCAGCAACACTGTGGCTGTTACATGTTAATCCGACATCCCATTTCGCAGTCAGCCAACCTTAACAACCCGAGAGGAGTTCGCGGATGTCCATGTCGTGATTCAGTTGTCCGACCTCATTCCTTCTGATCAAACATGGTGAACTCCAAAGCGCACGACATCATCGTCGGTCAAGATTCCCGTATAATAACGTGCGCCGTTGCAGCACAACAGAACACGTTTTGAACACACCATCGTCGTCGTTACTGATGTCTGATTAGAATAAGTGACGATATGAACCACCAGTCAAGGGTGAGTTGGGGTGCAATGTGCGTGGCGAATGTGAAGGTGAAGGTTCCATAGAGCTCTATGTGCAGCCCGGTGACTTTCCTCGAGTACATCGGGTAGGCAGCCGGCATCGCGCAGGAAGCTTATCTCTCTATCTCGATTGTGTCCCCCAATGGATGTCATATTCCAATGGCTACCGTTTTTCATGCTTTATTCCACCCGTAGGATCCTCATTCGTGTGTACCTCCGCCTCCTCGATCTCCTCGAACCATCTTGGTTCCTTTCCATCTCAATGAGTGACCGACAGACTAGACATGTCGCTAACATACTGCCTTGTTATCGTCATTGGCAATGCCGTGGCCAAGATCTAGCTGGCAATAGTGTCGTAACGATGCCAGCGTCCGAATCTGAATCGTGGCCGTCGCATATTATGAACGAAGGTGCTTCTTGACACGGGCAAGCTTCGGGTCATCGGTGGTACCCGACGGCGCACTGTGATGCCGCATTGGACACCATCAAACATCTACATAACGACGGCTTCTATGGTCCATCAGCTGATTGAAGAAGAGTACGCGGGCATCTCACGCCGTTGGCCGCGAGCCAACTCGATGCAGGAAGCAGCATATAAAGTAGTGAAGCAGGAGTCTCTCCCGATCAGCAGAAATCTTGAGGTTAGTTCGATTCCTATCTCGTGACAAGTAATTTGACATGTCCGGAAGAAGATGCTCTTTTTTATTTTTGCAACGGACCGAATGCGGACCAAAATGCATATACTGATTTACTTCTGTCTAACTGCATTGCTGCTAAGTATCCACGAACGTGTACCCTCCGCGCGACGATGCATATCCCCATCGGCTGTACCCAGAACCCTATCCGAGACAGCAGCACTCTTGTTGACTGCGCTCGAGATGATGCACTAATCATTCCGATCACGCAGTTATCAGACCTTGCGGGTTGTGCAAATCACAAGCGTACATGGGCACTTGTGCCGGAAAAAGTGCTCTGCAGAAGATGCTGCTCTCGCACCCTCTCTGAAGTGCGCGTGCGTGCGCTCGCACAGTAAAGACAACGGCCGAGCAGTGTGGGCGATTAGCACGAGCCAAAGCAGCTGACAGAACGGGCGCAGCGCACGAGACGATATCTTGAAGCGGCTCACATTGACACGTTCGATCGCGTCAGAGTCTCTCGTCACGACTGACATTGGCTTTGGGTAGTGTTAGAAGGCGCCGGCGCAGCCACTATGGAGCCCGACGAGCTGCGGATGCGATCGCTCTCGCAGAGTCAGTGGACGCCGCGGCAACGCGTGTGACCGATTGTTGTCATGGCAGCACACAGACACCACCGCAGCAATTAGACGGACAGAATCTTCCCGTCGCTCGCGCTGTTGTTTGGGTTCTGACTCAGACCAGACCGCTTCTCGCTGTCCGGTGCAGACTTTGCCTGCAGCACGTCGGGTGCTGGTCCCCGTGTCCATCGATGCCGACAACACACGCGGCGTCGGTTGGAGCAGTTGCTGCCTATATGGCAGTCTCAGCACACGCTGGTGCAACGACAGCTCGTTCTTCCCGTCTTCTCGGGTACTGTCACGGCACGTAGCGCACTGGTAGAGCTGTCGTGTCCACGTTGCTCAACCCGCCACGTGCAGTACGGGCTGACGGACTTTACTCGCACGCGACGACAGTTAAATGCTCGACAGGCGCAACGACTGTCTCCCACAGCTCTGGAGCCCTTACGGGTAGCCCTCTCCAGCGCAAAAGATCGTGCGAGCTCATTTCCCGCGAGACGACGCTCGTCGTCTGTCCCTCTCGACTTGCTCACCTCTGGCACAACCCCTCGCATGCTCAAAAGCCGGACAATGTCGAGGCAATAATACATATCCCACAGCGCCATGCACGACAACGTGGACCACTTGCTCTGTGCGTGTAAGCGGAGACCGCGACCATTCCATGTCGTATCTCTACATGACGACGACACAGGTGCTACGACGTACTGCATCCAGACGTCCTGCTATGAACAACAACTGGCCGTCGCGCGTGCGGTCTCTGTCTTCTGCAACAACATCAGAAGCCAACAACACATAGACGAACCAGCACACACACCCACACACACTCACACACAAACACTCTCTCTCTCTCTCTTTCGGAGAATCCAGCAGCGCATGTAACGCATGTGCTCAAAAAGGCCCACCGGATCATGCGCTGCAGCACGCGGAGCGTAATCAACTTCCCGTCTATGCATAACTCGACGCAAGCAGAGCTGGCGGAGCGCACGAGGCGCGAACAGATCACGTCGAACCCACTGCGTCGCAGCCCCTCGAACCCATACCGACGGAACTCGCTACGCACAGCCCATACAAAAACGCGCACCCATCGGAATCAAACTGCCGCCCCCCCCCACCGCCACCACACACCCCGTCCAGCGCGCCAGCCATTCGCCATTGTCGGTACAAAGCCACACACGTACACACCCAACTCGATCGACCGAGAAAAGGGATCGATTGAAACGAAATCCTCCAACCGGTCGCAAGAGTCGGCGCATTCGAAAAGGTCTCTCGCTCTCGACATCTAATCCGCTAACACTCAATCAGTTCCATCGACCGCAAATACACAGACCGACCGACCGACCGACCGACACGGACCGACACTGACCGACACTGACACTGACAGAGAGACAGACAGAGAGAGAGAGAGAGAAAACGGTTCACACAAACGCGAGCGACCGCAGCGAGAACGCCGTCGCCCGTCCGCCGTCTTCTTCCGCCTCCGCCTCCTCCGTCGCCGCTCGTGACCCACTGCGGCCAAAACAATGGACGCCGCCGTCGCGCCCTCCGACGTGTACCACGCGCTCGAGCCGTCCACGGGCCACACGGCGTCGGGGGCCGCCGCCGCCCACGGCGACCGCCCGACGCTCGCGACGCGGGACAGCTCCGGCCGCGCGTCGGCCATTGCCGCCGCCGCCACGTCGCCGTACGAACCCGCGAGCGACTACCGCGTCGTCCCCCTCCCCCGTACGTACCCCCACGAGACGCCGTCGTCTCCGTCTCGTCCTCTCCCGGCGTTCTGCTCGAACGTCGTGATCACGTCCAAGTACACGACGTGGAACTTCCTCCCCGTCTTCCTCCTCGAGAGCTTCCGCAAGTTGGCCAACGCCTACTTCCTCCTCGTCTCCGTCCTCCAGTGCATCCGCAGCATCAGCAACACGGCCGGTGTGCCCACGACGCTGCCCGTGCTCGTGCTCATCCTCGCGGTCGACGCCGTGCTCGCGATCATTGAAGACCGGCGACGCCACGTGGCCGACGGACACGCGAACTCGGCCCAGTGCCACGTGCTGAAGAGCGCCTTCACGGGCGCAGCAGACGCGTTGCAGAGCAACGCGACCGCTCTGACCACCGGTGCCGAAGCCGAAGAGGACGTTACCGACGACGAGGCCGTGATCCAGTGGGCAGCGCTCACAGTGGGGTCGGTCGTCAAGCTCTACAACCGCGAGATGGCTCCTGCGGACCTCTTGATTTTGGCCGTCGCCGAGCCAAAGCCACAGGCGCCCGCTGGGATTTGCTACGTCGAGACAAAGAGTCTCGACGGCGAGACGAACCTCAAGCTGCGGCACGCGTGCGACGCGACAATGCACGTGCAGACCGCTGCGCAGGTCGCGGCGCTCGCGGGACAGCTGCGGTGCGAGAACCCGAACAAAGCTATTGGCCGCTTTGACGGCACGTTGCTCGTGACCGACGGCAGCGCAGGCGCGTCGGACGGGCAGCCGCAGCCGATTGCCATGAAGAACGTGCTGCTGCGGGGCTGTCAGCTGCGCAACACGGACTGGATCTACGGCCTCGTTGTGAACACGGGGCCCGACACGAAGATCATGCAGAGCGCAACGGCGGCACGGGCCAAGTGGAGCTCGATCAATGAGACTGTGAACAAGATGATCATCTGGCTGTTCCTGCTGCTGTGTCTGTTTTGCGCGCTTTCGGCGACGCTGCAAGTGGTGTGGCTCGACAGTCACATTGATGCCAGTTGGTACTTGAGCTGGGCGCCTGCGCTCGCGAGCCAGTGGTTTGTCGGGTTTGGCTACTACTTTCTGCTCATGTATCAAATGATTCCGGTCTCGCTGTACGTGACTATCTCGGTGGTCATGTTTATCCAGGCGATCTTTATGACGTGGGACGTCGACATGTACTACGAGCCAACAGATGCGCGCATGCTCGTGCGCTCGATGGGACTGAACGAAGAGCTGGGGCAGATTTCGTACGTGTTTAGCGACAAGACGGGCACGCTGACGTGCAACGTCATGGAGTTCCGCAAATGCTCGATCAACGGCGTGTTGTACGGGACCGGCACGACAGAGATTGGGCGTGCAGCACTGCGTCGAAAGGGCGTTGCGATACCCACAGACACGGAATCGGTTTCGTCACTGCATCGTGCCACTGTCCCGTACGTCAATTTCGAAGACGCGCGGTTGTTTAGCGCACTGGAGCGGCCGATGACGGACGACTCGCCGAACCGTGAAGCTGAGTTTTTCTTGCACTTGAGCCTGTGTCAAACGGTCATTCCGGAGACTGTTGAAGATAGCGGTGAAGTGCGCTTTTCGGCCTCGTCACCTGACGAACAGGCGCTCGTTTCAGGCGCCAAGTTTTTTGGGTTTAGTTTCGAGTCGCGCGGTTTGGGCGTCGCTCGTGTGCGCGTGAAACGTCCGGACCTGATTCGTCGCTACGCCAATGGCTACCTCGGTCCGAACGCTTTGCTGGAGTTCAAGATCTTGGACGTCTTGGAGTTTACGAGTGATCGCAAGCGGATGTCAGTTGTGGTGCAATATCCCAATGGAGAGTACTGGGTGCTCACGAAGGGAGCTGACAACGTGATTTTTCCCATGCTGGCTAAGAACAAGAGTAACCCTGGATTATTGAAGGAGACGAAGCGTCACTTGGAGACTTTTGGCGATGATGGGTTGCGTACGCTTACGATTGCGCAGCGACGTGTGGGCGAGAAGGAGTATTTGAACTGGAGTGCACGTTTTAAGAAGGCGAACTCTTCGCTAGAAGAAATTGACAAGCGCAAGAATGGCCAGCCGAACGAAATTGACAAGCTAATGATAGAGATTGAGCGTGATCTGGAAATGCTTGGTGCAACAGCGATTGAAGACAAGCTGCAAAACAATGTGCCTCGATGCATTGCTAATCTCATGCGCGCGGGTATGCGAGTGTGGATGCTTACGGGAGACAAGCAGGAGACTGCCATCAACATTTCGTACGCGTGTCAGCTCATGGACAGCGACATGGAGCAGTACGTGCTCAACTGTGATCTGTATCCTACGAAGGACGCGATTCTTGCACGATTGCTGAGTGCAAGCGCCGAGGTCCGTCAAGGCACCGGTCGCCATGCTGTGGTTATCGACGGTGAGTGCTTGGAGATGGCTCTGGCAGACGATCAGTGTCAGCAAGAGTTTTTGTCGCTGGCCATGGCCTGCGAGGCTGTGGTGTGCTGTCGTGTGTCACCCAGTCAGAAAGCTGAGGTGGTGTCACTAGTGCGTGCTACGAACAGAAAGGTGCGAACGCTGGCGATCGGTGACGGTGCGAACGACGTAGCTATGATTCAGCGCGCGCATGTTGGCGTTGGTATCTCGGGCCAAGAGGGTATGCAGGCTGTGAACTCAAGTGACTATGCGATCGGGCAGTTTTACTTCTTAGAGAAGCTGCTTTTGCACCATGGCCGCCTGAATTACAAGCGTATGGCTATTTTGGTTGGGTACATGTTCTACAAGAACATCGTGATGGTACTAGTGCAGTACTTTTACATGTTCTTCACGGGTTCCTCTGGCCAGAAGTTCTACGGCGAGCTGGGGTTCCAGCTTTACAACGTCAGCTACACTTCCATTCCGATCATTGTGCTGGGTGTCTTTGACTACGACGTGCCTTTCGAAGTGAGTCGATTCTTTCCTGAGCTGTACCTGGTTGGACCGCGCATGGAGCTTTTTAACAACTACACGTTCTTCAAGTGGATTTGCAGTGCTGTCTATGAAGCGGCTGTCATCTTTGTGTTCGTGGCTTACGCCTTCAACGAGAATTTATCTAATGTGGGCAGCGCGCCTATGGTTCAGTATGGACTGCTCGCGTTTACGATGGTGGTTTTGGTGGCCAACATCAAGTTGTTAATGGTGCAGATGTCTTGGAGCCCTTACGCTGTGTCGTTGTGGCTGTCGGGTATAATCGCGTACATCCCCCTCACCCCTCTCGTTTCGAGCTACTGGGTTGCCATGTTTCCGACGGAGTTCGGCAGCTTCCAAAATACACTAGGCCAAGAGACGTACTGGCTGGTAATCCCAGTCTGTCTAGTCGTTGCGCTCCTTCGTCATTTCACTTGGACAGCCGTCTGCCGCCGATTCTATCCGCTTCCGTGGCAGATTGTCCAAGAGCAGTATGTCTTGCACAAGGACAAGTACTCGACGCAAAATCGGCCAATGCCTTACATTGACGTCGAAGTAGGCGGCACATCGCACAACGGCGAAGGCGCTTTTACCGATACATCGTCTCCTGGTCGCGACACGGTACGTACAGCTTGTGCAGCGTTTGGTGCAGTGATCCGATCTCTGACATTGTCTACTGTTGTTTTTCATGCAGCGACCGCACGAGTATGCACATGCATTGGGTCGGTTCGATCGCAAACCGCGCGGGTCTGGTAGTGGGTTCGCGTTCAGCCATGACCCGCAGACTTCTTTGGCCGAGTCGTACATCTCAACGCACGATGTGCGTCAATCGTCGTCCGCAATGGAGGATGCTGAGCACCGCAGCAGCAGGTCTCGAGAAGACTCGCGAAGCTCTGACTACGAGTCCTCGCGCTCGGGTGCTGTCGGGGATTCTACGAGAGCAACACGATCTTCGGGGTTGTTCGGTTAGCTGCTGCTACCTGATCCAGTTGCACGGCCATCGCCCGCACGCATGCTCACCATACAGTGGAGCACTACGACGCCACGTCGACGCCTGGACAAGAGGGTCCGTTTCCAGGTACCGACGTCTGAGATCACTAGACTTCGTTTGTGCTTGTCTAGCTAGCTGTGAGATTGGGATCGTTGATGCCGCGGACGAGGCAGGATGTACGTGCGCAGCAAGGAGTTGGCTGTTGTTCGTGGCAGCTGTCGACTCGTGCACGGCGCTTAATATCTATAAACACCGAAACTCATTTGATAATGCTTTGGTCTTCCAGTGAGCTGTTTCGTCACGGCAGGAGCTACAGGGCGTGCGTCGCGCAGTTGCAGTATTGCGTAACGGTTGCGAATGGCGTGTGGGGTGTGCTTGTGTTGCATGACAATTGATGACCATCGACGTTCCAGTTCGGCACCTCTTCCGAGCAAAGCAGGACTCAGATGCTGGTGCTGGTAGCTGTTGCCAAGTCAGCGTACTTTTGCGTCTCGATGCGAACACATACAGGACGGACAACGACGGCGTGCGTCCAAAGCCAAGACAAAATGACTGCACGTTAACGAACTGCCATGCACCCGCCAATGACGTCGAGTCCACTTGCTCGTCAACGATGACGTCGGGTCTCCAGCAGTGCAGGCTTTCTACCAGGAAAAAGTATCTCGCTCATCACGCGTCCGTCGTCGTGGGTATCACCTCAAGGATGCTGGTCCTGCTCGGACAACTTCTTTGCCAGCGCCACGTAGTCCACCTCTTTTCTCACGCGCTTACTCCTCGAGCATGACAGAGGCACCGCAGCCGCGTCTTTGCTGCGCTTCTTCGTGCGCGGCACCATCACAGTCGAGCCTGAACCTGCTGGAGTCAAGTAATTGGCCAGCAACGCCTGCTCGTGGGCAGCCTCTTTCGCAATCTCGTCCTCGTCCCACCGCTCCTGCGCAGGATTGATGAGCGCCCGGGCGTGGGCCGCAACACTGCGTGCAAAAGGCGAGACCATGCGACCGTGAAAGTTGTAGCCTCCCTCCAGAACCGAGATCAGTCTGCCCTCGCAGCACGTGTTGGCCACCTGCTTGACGTGACCCACGAGCCACTCGTAGTCTTGCTCCAGCAGCGAGACGTATCCCCAGTTCACAAGCTCCTTCCTGTGCGCATCAAAACCTGCCGATAGGAAAATAAGGTCCGGACTAAACTCCAGCAACTTGGGCAAAATGCGGTCGCGGAATGCGCTCCGCCACAGAAGACGAGAAGCTGATACACCTTCCTGGCAAAACGGCATACCTTCGTCCCAGATGACAGGACTCTCTTTCACGTCCGAAACGCCCGATCCAGGGTAAAACCAGCCCTGCGTCTCCCCTTTTGCCAACTCTTCCTTGTTCTCAGGGTCCTTGCGTCCGTATCCGTGCACCGAACAAAAGAATACATTCTCCGCGTCATCCTCACTGCGCCACGGCTTGTACTGGTGCACAACCTGCTTGCCAACGCCGTATGGCGTCTCGAACGTCAGCTCTTGAGTAGACGGCACGAGCTGCCGCACGATCTCTTCCGTACCATTACCGTGGTGCACGTCAAAGTCCAGAATAGCTACTTTGTTGATTCCGCGGTGTTTCAGATGTGCACGCGCATACGCAGCGCCGACAGCCACGTTGTTGAAAAGACAAAACCCGAGACTTCCTTCCGGATCGTTCTCGCACACAACCTTACCCACCGGTCCAGCATGATGTCCAGGAGGCCGTACAATGCAGAACGCATTCCTACATTTGCCTGCTACCACCTCGTCCACTGCCTTGCACACTGCGCCAGCAGCACGGGCGGCTGCGTCAAAGGAACGAGCCGTCAAAGCTGTATCCATATCCAAGGCACACGTCGCAGAACTCTCCTCCGTATCGTCGGCACGTTTGCCAGACGATACTGGATCAGACTGGTCCAGAAACTCATTGCAACTTGCGTTGTCGTCGTTGCTTGTGACAACACGGGCTTTGCTACCAACTGGCGCAGCGAGGGAAGCACATTTCTGGCGCAGGCGGTCGACGTAGTGGTATTCATGCACCCGCAAAATGTCAGCAATATCAGCGCGTTCAATCTCGTGGTTCCACTTGACATTCGAGCGTTGAAATTCACGCGACCGCAGGATGCCAAACACTGGGTCGACCAGCGTATCGATCCGCTCGGGGTTTTCGGGTGGAAGGTCGGGTTCTCCGCGACGATGGTATGCCATGGGCAAATGCCGCCAGACCTCGGGGTGAAAATAAAATCGCGTCCCAGCTCCCTCCACATCGTCTCCTTCGTCACGTGCTGACGTTTCAGCGCCCAGCGTTCCTGCTTCAGCCGCCAGCAGGTGCACCTCCAGTGCACCAAACGCACACCTGCGCGCCACCTGCGCTGCCGTGCAGCCATGCATGTCCTTGCGCGTGAAATCCACTGCCTTTTTGCGACAAGCAGTGCGCAGAATCTCGACACCATCGACAAAGTTAGCGCGCGCGGCAACATGCGCCGGCGTCTCGTGCCGCAACGTGACTGCGTTCACGTCCACGTTGTAGTCCTCGACCAGCTTCTTTGCAGTAGCTGCTGCGCCAAACTTCATTGCTTCGTGTAGCGGGCGGAAGCCCAATTTGTTGCCTTTTTCCAGCCACGTCTCGACCGCGAGCGGCGTGTCGGCCACCCCCTTCTCGTATCTGCTCCTCGTCCCGCCTTCTCCAGCTCGCAATGCTTCCCCCAGCTCGCTCTTCTCAGCAACAACACCAGCAACAACACCAGCAACACCAGCAACACCAGCAGTAGCAGCAACAACGTGCCGTCGATAGAACGCAACCAGCACGTCGAGACACGCCGCGAGGTCGTAGCGGGCACAGAGATGGAAGACGGAACAGCCCTCGTCGTCGCGGGCCGTCAGCTTGGCCGCCAGCACCGCCTGCACGTCGTCGCTGTAGCCACTCCACACGTCCATTGCGTCTGTATTTTGTACCGTATTCGCGCCACAGAGTTCCGCCACAATGGCGCAGCTAAACGGCGCGTTGAGTGCCCCCACGCGCAGCACGAGATGCAGAAACGGCGTGCGCAGGTCGCCGCTGGTGAGACAGAGCATTGCGCCCGTGAGTGCGCTCGAGTAGCGCAGCAGATGCAGCGCGCAGTCCAACTGCTGGTGGACAATGGCCACGTGGAGCGGTAAAAAACCCATGTCGTCTCGTTCGAGCACACGCGCTTCGCTGGCGGCGACGTCGACGCGCGACGCGGGCGCGAGCGGCAGCAGCCGACGGAGACAGTCGATGTGCCCGTGTTCGGCGGCGTTGTGGAGCGCGTACGCGTCGTACGCGTCGCTGTCGCTGTCGCTGTCGCTGTCGCTGTGGCCGTCGAGCGCCGACAGAGCGGCAGCGGCGGTGGGCTCGGGCATGTTCGGACGCTCGAGTGGGTTTTGGGTGGAATTGTGGGTGGGTAAATGGGTGGATGGGTTGACCATCGTACAAGAATGCAACAAAAAGCAGAGATGATGATGATGATGATGATGGAGTTGTGTTGCTGGTAGAGGGGCGTGGGAAAAAAGCGCTTTTGGTTGTGGCGAGTGTGGTTTGCTTGACTTTTTTTTACAGCGAGGCTGGTTGTAGAGGTTGTTGGAGGTAGAGGCGCAGGTTACTCGGATGGCTACAGTGTGGGGTTGACTGCTTGGAGAAGCGAGCGGATAAATGGAGGACGTTGTGCGCGGGACATCATGGGCGTGCGTGTGAGAGAGAGAGAGGGGTTGGAGAGAGAGAGAGGTATTGCAACAAGTAGTCGATTCGGTCACGGTGAGAGGACATAGTTTTCACGCATGTTACAGAACGAGGCGTTTTCAAGACGCTCGAAACCGACTTGCCCGACTTTGCTTACGGTCAAGGTGCTGTTACGTTTCCACGTGACGCAGTGATAGGACGCTATTCGTACAGCAAGACCACGGTGATCTTTTCGCACAGTGCTACGGCAGGCAGACGGGTGGGGCGTCGTAGCTGCTGCTGCTGCTGTTACTACTTCTTTTACTACTGGCTCGAGGCACACAGCTGCGATCCAGGAGCGGCTTTTACGACATACGCTGGCAGTGTGGGCATGCAACAATTGGCTGTTATCGTGTGTGTGTTTTTTCAGGAGTGGACGCACAAAGGTCTGCGACTCGAACGCGATGCTAACGGCGGCAACTGGACTCATCGTCGCTGGCGGCAGTTGCCGTTGCGTTCGCTCTCGAGGAGATACAGTAGCTGGCCGTCATTCATTGGTCGTCGCACAAGTTGGTGTCGCCATTGATGGAGCCACTTCGCATTCAGGTCGGAAGAACTCGATGCGATTGACTGAGACTGACTATTGCCGTGCCAGCTGCCTCACTAGCCCTACCCCGTGGAGAATGTTGGTTTGCACTTGCGCCAAGTATGGCGCAACGATGTGCGTGACCAGACCTGGGAAAGGGCAGTCGACGTGACCGTGCGATATGCTGCCGCTTTTCAGCCAATCTGTGACTATGTCGGCGTAAGAGCAGCTGCTCTGCATGTCGCAGCGGAGACCAAGTCCGAGACTACGCCTGTTGGACACTGACTGACTGAATGCCAGCGCTGTATCAGACAATTGGCCCGAGGCCGAGTCCTTTTTGTTGGTGATGACGCTTCGGAAAGATACACGAAAATCGCACTGGCGGTCGTCAACGACCAAACGTCTGTCTGTCTGTCTGTCGACGGAAGCCTTCGGCTGATCACACCCGGGCACTCAGTGTGTGCTCAGCGCCCGGTGCTGCTTGTCTCGCGTAACGGCAGGAACCGCTGTAGCAGTAGGAAGGGGTGTTGTCTGAGAGGAGACAAAGTGCGCACGATCGCAACGCTTTCGGCAACTTCAACTGCGCTGCAGCCGCATGGTATTTCGCCTTGCCGGCAGCCTCCTCGTTGGAGGGGAACCACTCGAGTGGTGCAGTGGTCGATTTGAAAACGTGGATGATACCAGGTCTCCAACTGGCACTGGCGTGGTCCGGTGACGTCAGTTATCCAGCCAGTACCAGTACGAGTAAAAGTAGCAGTAACAGCAGTCGCAGTCGCAGTAGGAGGAGGAGGAGGAGGAGGAGGGGAGGGGAGGGGAAGTAGCAGTAGTACGGTCGTAGTACGTTTTTCAAGTCCCATCAGACGACACACAAGTCGTGGCCCTCCTCTTGTTTCGGCAGCATCGCTCCCTAGCCCTATCTCTTCAATGTCGATATTGAAGATGGGCAATCTACTTTTGCAATTGGCTTAAACCTAGCACCGCGAGCGTTCATTGGCTCGCTGTTGCCTCAACCCTTCACCAGGTGCTCACTGAATTTTTTACCCGCTTGCCCTCAGTTAGCAAAAAGACAGCAACAAGTCACTTGCACTCTGTCTGTCGACCGCACACGCCCTCTCGCCCCACAGTCCAAACAGCAGCAACACAACCAGCAACACAACAGCAGCAACACAAGCAGCACCAGCACCAGTAGGACCCCGTCCAGCAGCAGCCACACAGCCCCAGTAGTGGTCCACATCTGCTCATTGACAATGCAGGAGACAAACCCTCCCCCGCCGACGCCGCTCGGCCTCACGGACCCCACTGTCCCGTGCACCACCACCAGCAGCAGTAGCAGCAGCAGCAGCAGCGCGACGACCACGAGCGCCACCACGAGCCGTCGTCCGCGGGCCCAGAGCCTGCAGCACTTTGGCGACAAGTGCGCTGTGCCGCGCGAGTGCTGCAGCTCGGGCTCGTTCGTGAGCAAACTGTACCGTATGGTGGACTCGGAGCCGTCGACGATCGTCGCGTGGTGCCGCGGCGGCAGCGCGTTCTGCATTGTCGACCCCAAGCTCATGGCCGAGCACTGTCTGCCCAAGTACTTTCGCCACCGGCGGTTCTCGAGCCTCATTCGGCAGCTCAATTTCTACAGCTTTTACCGCGTCCAGGAGGGGCAGCTCACGATCTACCAGCACTCGTTCTTCCGCAAAGGACGGGCGGACCTGCTCGTGCACATTAAACGGCGCGGCGCCGGCAAGGCCAAAGACCCGTGGTTTGACCCGCTGGCTGCTGCTGCCGCCGCTACAGCGAGCACGAAAGTCGCGGCAGCCGAGTACCCACTGGCGACGGCCACGAGCGGAGCGCTGACGCCGACGATGCCGTCGACGTCGCTGGGCTTTGTGGCGTGCTACTCGCCCATGGCCAAGTCGGTGGCGCTCGACAACATGTCGCCGGCTCTAAAGCCTGCGATGGTGCAGCTCTGTCCGCCTTCGGTGGAGCTCGGGAGCCCGGACGTCACGGACGGACTGCTCAAGAAGGACGGGGACCCGGCGTACCCGTTACTGTCGGCGTTGAGCCCGAAGAGTGAGCTTTTGTTTAGCGACATGATGGACTCGAACGTGTCGCTACACAAGACGCCAAGTGCTTTGGCGGCAGCGCCGCTGGCGATGGACATTCCGGACTTTCTGACGGACGACTGCAACATTACGCCCGGGCAGAGCGACGACCGGCTGTGTAGTAGTGGCGCGCACTCGAACAAGTGCGCGATGGTGTCACGGGACTGCCTGAAGCTGGACGACGTGGAGCACACAGCGCCAGCTCCCGTGCTGGCGCGACAAGAGGGCGAGCCCGAGCCAGCAAGTTTTGACAATGAGGTGTTTCTGGACTTCGCCAGCGTGGAGCCGGGGGCGTGGGAGGTGCCGCTGTCCCCTTTGAACGACGAAGAGGACGTCATGCCGTGGCTGGATCTGTGCTTCTAGATTGACTATTTCTACGGTTGCCGCCGCCCCCGTGCGGCGATTGACTGATCGATCGATAGACGACGCTGATATTTATCCACGCTGCGCAGCCAGTCCGTCCAATGTCCCATGCCCCATATGCCCCTTGCTCGCTCCTTCAAGGCCTTCACGGACGTCCCGTTTCCGTCGTCCCCGCTCTGACTCGAGTGCCATAGGTACTTTGCAGGCAGGAAGAGGGGTTACATGAAGATAGCAATTCATCAAGCCAAGGGCTAGGCCGTAGCAGTATGTAAAGTAGGATGTAGGTGCCCAGAGCAGCCGAGTAAACGAACGACGAGGAACATTGCGGTCCATTTGCATTGGTGACGGCCTTAGTTCGGTTGTCACGTTGACACGGCGTCTCGGTCCTCGATCTCGCTCAGTCAGTCAATCCGTCAGTCAGTCGGTCAATCGTACGCTCTATACTCGCCGTTGGCGTGGACAAGTAAGTGCGCCCGCACCTGTCAACAGGCGTAGACGTGTGGGATAGACTATTGTTGATGGCATTTTACCAGCAGCTCGTGCGACATGTGCACGTGCGCTGCAGCTCAACACGACCACTGAAAACTGGATCAACGCACCGTTGCAATCGATTCTTTGCTGCCTCGTTCCGTTCTTGACCGCTCTGCTCTAGTACTTGAACACGGACACACGTCCTGCCACCGTCTGTGTCGACTGCCGCGCTTCCTCCTCCTTGAACGCCAGCTTTGTCTCCTTCTTTTCAGCGCGCCGCGCCATCTTCTCCATCTTGACAGCCGTCTTGCGCGTGCGCTTTTGCTCCTTTGTCTCACTCTTTGGCCTCCGACTCGTCTCAGGCTGCTGCGTCTGGTGCACGTGCTGCTTACTTGCCTCCGCCTTGTTCGGTTTTGCACTGTCAAACACGCCCAGCGGCATGCCCGTCTTGCGCGACAGCGTCACCTTGTGCTTGCGAGTGTCTCCTTCACCCTCTGCGGTGCTGCTAAGCACCGGCTGCTTCTTCTTCTTGCGCCGAGTCGGAGCTTCCCGCAGCACTGTCGGGTGGTTGCTCGACGTCGAGTATGTGCTCACAATGGTCTCGCAGTCCCACTGCTCACGCTCTTCACGCTGCAAATACCGGTTACGCTCATACAGCTCCTGCAGCTCTTTCTTCTCGCGCTCAGCACGCGCCACCTGACCTTCGGGCTCCTCTTCCTCCTCTGTCTCTGCACCTTCATCATACTCGTATGCATGACGCTCTGCCTCACACGCCTCCAGCACTTGCTTGAGACGATTGCCTTCGCGCAGCGGGTTGCCTAGCTTGCCCTCTGCGTCAGCAAGTTCCTGCTGAACAAAGACATAGTCCTCCACCACGGCGTCGAGAAGCTCGCCGTCGAGCATCTCCTTTCCGCGCGTCTCGGGGTCACCTTCGTCTAGTTCACCGAGCTGCTCGTCGTCGTACTCATCCGCCAGCGTCTTCTCAAAGAGTTCGTCCAGCACACGCTGTGCCTCATCTCGACTTTCCAACGTCTCGGCATTCTCGTCGTTGTCTTCGCCTTCTCCATCGCTCAGCTCATCATCGTCTTCGCTATCAGACCCTTCGCTGTCCGTCAGGTTTCCACGACACAGCGGCGTGATGCCACTGGCTGCCTCCATCAGCTTGGCAATGTGTGCATCATAGTCAAAGTCGTCCGTCTCATTCGGCTCCACCTCTTCTTCTGCCGCCTGCATCACAAACGAATCGTCCAGCTCTTCAAACGCCTCATCATTCACGAGCGCTTCTCTCAGATCGGCATCCATGACATCCGTCGTCAATGTAATAGCTTGCAACAGCCGGTCTTGCTCCTCAGCGCTGGGCAGTGCGTCGGGTGGCAAATCCACTTTCCTCGACAGCGCTCGACTCGCTTCTCCAGCATCGAACCGACTCGTGGCCGAGTAGAACTTGCCCTGTCCCATCTCTTTCATGTGCTGCGAGTAGTCGTACCCATCTCTCGGCAGGCCGTTTTCGTCCACGAGATCCTCAGCTTCCACACGTCCAAAGCGCACTCGACGAGCACGCAAAGCACCGTTGGCCTTCGCAACTGGAGCCCTCGGAGCGTCAACGAGGTCGGGCATCTCGTCATCGCTCTCGTTGTTGTCGTCGCTCCCGTTTTCCCCTTCCGAGTCCGACGAGTGCAGCTCCACGTTCTGATTGGACGACAGGAGCACGTACTTGGACGCTTTCGGGTCATTTGCTTTCGGGTCGCGTTGGCTGCGGTGCACCACGTGGAAGTGCTGCGCCGTCTTCTTGTCGATGAACTGCTTCTTACGGCCCTGTCACATAGCAAGTACACATAGCGACGTTAGCGCGTGGATAGCCTGAGCAGCAGCAGCAGCAGCAGCAGTGGCCGACGAGGAAGAGGCCGCGAAGCGACTTACCATGACGAATGGCGTTGAGTCGATGCGGTTGTCTGGAATATAAGCCAATCAGGTTGACGAATGGATGCCCAGCGGTAGGGGACGCAACACGACTCCGATTTCTAGTGGACAATATGCGCTGAACCCGTTTTTCGCAGTGCCATTCGTCCGCAAACACAAACGGTTGCAGCTATTTACCGACGCTCAGATTGCGTAGGCGTATACGTGTATACGGCGTTCACATTCGCGCGACAAGACGCGCGAGCGAGCGTAAACCTAACAAGTTGACGAAATAGGTTTGGTAAAAAATGGACGGCGTGCCCGAGATTCAGAGCGAATGACGTGGTGACGGTCTCTTCACGACGATTTGGGTACAGGATATCCGAAAACACTTTCGAGGAGGTAACATTCGAGTGCCGGATATAGCACCTTGTCGTGCAAACGCCTGATGTTGGTGTATAGTGGTTGCAGAGGGTGCCGTGCTAAGTCGAATGATTATTGTTCGGCTGTCCATCCACACTCGACGTGCTCCCATCGGTCTACAGCTGCCTGCTAGTAGCCTGACTATCCATCAGCATGGCCATACGTTTATCCGCTTCGTTCAATTCGCATCGCTTCGGCTCTATCAATCCTAGTGTTCCTCGCCTATTGTGCGACGTCGATACGAGCTCGGCCTCCGTCGTCGTGAGCTACATCTCGGCTTGCTTTTGCGCACCACTGCACAACGGCACAGTCCATGGTTGAGACTCTATCTGTAACAGACTTGCGTTCCTCCTTATCTACCGCATAGTCCGAGTCGCTTCAGCTCGCCAAGATGATCTTATATCCTTCATTTCTTTGACCACTCAATTTACTCTTCATGCTCTTGGTCTCTTTAGGCATCTGGCGATTCTTTAGGTCAGCTTCCAGCTGCTCATGCTAATTTGATGAGTGCGCCTCGTAGCCTAATGCGCTGCAAAGCTTTTATCTGGACGCGTTCATCTTGCACCCCGATGTAAGTTCGTCCGCATGAGCGATACAAAGGTGCGGATCGTCGTCTACCCGTTTGTTTTGATCGTAATGTCAGATACACACGTTCGCTCTTCACTTTGTAAGCCTCTTCGCCAATAGGCGCACGCACATCACTTGCCTCCGTTCCACCATGCTCTGCAGCATCTTCTCATTTGTCGCGGTTAGACCATCGTGTACGCATTGTCGTCGCCCAAATGACCTGGCAGGTCCTTGCATAGCCTCTACTGAACTGGTGGATCGACCTGGACGTTACTCAATCCAGGATGAGTGGCAGTTGGCAGCGCTCGGGCTAAAACCGACCAAGGGATGTAGAACAACAGCAACGGGCTCACACATTATCAAGTCTGGACGAATTCCAGAATAGCCACCGATCAACTCAACATGTATCAATCAGGAGGAGATCAGAACGACTGCTGTCGTCAAACGGCCCAATGCTTGGCAACAGCGGAGGCCTTGCGGTCTATCTTTTGGGACTGCTATTGTGTATATGCCTTGTGAAACAAAGTTGTAAGCCACTAGACCGGTGTACGAGCGACATGTCCGCGGACAAAGCACTCTCTGGCTGCATGAGCTAATCGCCGCATTCCCAGTAAACCCGTGTACCAGGACGAAAGTAATTGCAGACAGACTTCAAGAGGATGCAACCACGAGCAGAGCTAGAATAAGGGCAAACATCGCACATCATGTCAACGGTCTGACTCACCCGCCAATCGATCGAAAAGATGTAGTGATGTTCCGCGGATCCGATAAACATCGACCAAGCACCACACAGCAGGCGTGGAAGAGATACATCCGACGACTACGCGTAGTCGCGCTACACGCGTATCGGGTGGCCGACACAGTTACTAGAGAAGGTCTCATCAAATGCTCGTATCAATATGCTCGCTCACACTCCCGAGAGGGTCTTCTTTTTATCAGAGGACAGCTCATGATTAGTCATTGGGACACGGGCGCTCATATCTGGACTACGAGTCATGATAGATCAATCAGATTGACAACACGTTTGAGGTAGACAATCAGAAGTTTTTGAAGTCCTAACACCCTCAGCAGCAATGTCGGCGTGTAGCCGTAAGCAAACATCACAACGGCACGGTCTGCTCGCCACGCTGTCGCATTGCCTCCTGCAGCGGATGCATGCAGATCCAGCTTCAGTCGAGACATCCACAAAATACTTGCAAGGTGCATTCCACCTCGTGGTAGAGCTCGCAGCGATGCTTCGTCGTTCAGCTGTGTGTTTACCACCAACGAATGACGCGAGGCACTGATCCATGCAAGAGCGACGCACCTGCGTGCGTACTGACCGACGTGGTTGGTGGCATCCCAGTCGTCCACTGCTACCGTCGACAACATTGCCGCAGTCGAACAGAGCTCCGTGTCAGACCTTCTTCACATTACGATACAAACAAACGCCGTACTTCTGTACGAGACCAAAGACTCATTCAAACAACGAGGTCAACGGGGTACTTCTGTACGAGTCCAAAGACTCTTGTTCCTCGAACTGACCTGCCATTGTTGCAGCCACCGTATCCAACGCCTTACAGCTTGGCGACAGCGTCGTGCACAGCAGCGAGGCCCGTGGCATCCAACTTGTCAGCGGAACCTCCGCAAGCGGTCACAAGCGCCTGCAGGGCTTCCATCGCCAGCGAGTCGCACAGATCTTCCGTCTTGATGACGTCAATCGATCCATCCACTCCCTGGTCTCTCGCAGCTGCCATGAGCTCGCGGAACACCTTCTTGACCTTGCGCAACAGCTTCTTCTGCTTCTCCTTGACCATCTTGGCGTCCTTGCGCGCATCCTTCTGCTTCTCTTCGGCCTCCTGCACCGCCCGCGCCTCCTCCTCCTTCTTGCGGTTCTCTTCGTCAATCACGCGCTGGGCCTCCGCCTCCTTCGCCCGCTTCGCTTGGGCCTTGCGGTCCTTCTCTTCCTGTTTCACGCGACGAATCCGCGGGTCGGCGGCCAGCGCGCGGTCCACGAGACTCGCCAGTCGCGCGTACTCGCTCTTCTTCTTCTTCTTGGCCGCCGCCTCGTTCTTCTTGGCCATCCAGCGCTTGTGGTCGCGGTGCTCGGCCGAGTCCACGTCGTGCTCCGAGTCGTGCGTGAAGTCGCGCCACGAGTCAAACTTGTTCCAGAAGTCGTAAAACGCGTAGACCTCTTCAATGGGCTTGTCGTCGCCCCCGAGCGTCGGCACGGGTCGAGTGGCACTGAAGCGCGCGTTGGCCGTGAACACGGGGCCGTACAGGTCGTAGAAGCTCTTGCCTTCGCCACGACTGTCGGTCTCGGCGATCTTCTCCGTGCCCGAGGGGATCCACTCGTCAAAGTCGCACTGCGAGTCGTACGCGCGCTTCTTCTGCGGGTCCGTGAGCGTCGCAAACGCCTTCTGCACGGCCAAGTAGTTAGGGTCGTTGTCTGTCTTGCCCGTCTTGTCCGGGTGGTGCTCGATCAGCACGCGGTGGTACGCCTTCTTCACCTGCTCGTCCGTCACGTCGAAGCCCACGTGACTCAGCCCCAGCTGCTCGTACATGGTCAGCTCCAGGAAGTTCTTGCCCCGGAGACTGCGCCGGTACTTGCGCAGCACCGACTCTTCCTGTTTGCGCAGCGCGTCGCGCGCCTTCACGCTGTCGTCCACCTCGTCGCAGCTGGCCGAGCGCCCGCGGGCGGCATTGCGCGCGCGCTTGTGGAACGCCCGACCGGCCGACTCGATGCGCTTGTGCGCGAAGTAGCCGCCGAGTCCCACGCGGACGTCGGACGGCAGCGCGTCCGTCGGGGGCGGGGGGAGCGACAGCGTCAGCGGAGGCATTTGACGTCACGTTGCGGTCGTGTGGGTGTACTTTGGTCCGTCAGTCAGTCAGTCGGTCAATCGGTCGGTCCGTCGGTCAATGGGAACGGCTGAGGGGTCCAACAACGAGTGGTGCGCAGTGATTTGTAGTTGACGACAGACTCTGATTCACTGGTGGAGAGCGACCGATGCACTAATCGCTACGCCAATACGCAGCAGAGCGGGGCACTCAGATGTCGTCGTCGTGATAAAGACGTCCTGTAGCATCGAAACAGCAGTCAAAGTAGGTGGGGGAGGCAGGCAGTGATGCCGAATCGATGCGAATTCAGGCCGAGTCAGAGACACCGGTCCGGGTCGAGGCGCTCGTTTCCTTGACAAGTTGGAGGTCAGAGGACGACCACTTGTCGGTTGAAGACTGCATTGAGCATTGTGCTTTCTACAGTGCAGGGACGCCGTCAATCGCTGGCTTTGGCGCTACCGCCAGCACTCGGAACTGGAAAGATAAGGATGACCTTAATGTGTTGTCGACAAGAAATCGAGGGACGTCCACCAGCTAAGTCGGGCCTTCCATTGGCACACACGGCCACAAATGTGCTTCTGTGCACCTGTCGATCGATGCAGCAAAACATCCCGTTGGCTCGAAAGACGTCGCTGGTCTAGGGCGGAGGAAGCCACCTAGCAGAATTCACGCTACGAATGCGGCAACAAGTGTATCGCTGACTCTGCGCATCGAGAAGATAATGCACATGGACTCGAGCGCTCAAGCCACGATCGTTCCTTATCTTCGTCTCGACAGAGCGTTCATCGACGCAACTTGAGAGCAAGTTGACGAAATGTGGCGGTTGGCGCACCTTCGTCCAGCTTTGCCAGTAGTGCTCAGTCAATATATCCTTTGTTTTGCAGCGCAGTCTTACATGAATATCATGGCGGGTTCGTCGCGTGCAAATTGTACCGACCCTCTCCAAGTTGCTCAGCGGTTGACCCGACACAGACAAGTGTCAGCCGCTTGGTATGCTGTGCAGCATGCATATGATGCCTACTGTGCCAGTGGGTGCTTGTAGATGGCGAGTTCACGGTGGCGTTTCAGCAGGTTCCAGTCGTGTTGATCCAGCGCAGGACGCTCTGTGCGGTGATGCTCGCTTGCTTGAGCTAGCGTTCGTGAGATAGTGCGTTGAATGAGATCAAAAAAACTCTTGCGCTTTGCCGTGAGCTAGTGAATGAGCGAGATTGTCTTGGCCCTGTCAGCCAGAGCTAGTATGCTTCTTGTTCTTCGGCGTTTCTCGTCAAACATCGTGGCACGAGAACGGTTTTCTGGCTCGGCAATGAAATGACATTGTGATTGTGGCGCTGCCATTATGTTCGTTGCGTCGAGACGAAAAAGAGAAAAGGAATGAAGCAAGCAGGTCGTGGATGGTGCAGCACGACAGGATGTGTCGGTTCCAGTAGCCAAGAGTGCTTCTTGTTGGTGACAAGGTGATGGACGTCAGACAGGTGATGGAGATTGAAGAAGCGACGACAGCTGCTACTGCTGCTGCGGGCGCTAAAGTTGTGTGTTTTGTTTGCATCAGACGATAATCGCTGTTGGCGCCACCACCATGCACGGAGGCTGAACCGTCTTGACGTTCAGAGTCACTCTGTATCTCATAAATGCGTGAGTGCTCACAATTGATATGAAGTGGTGCCGTGGATTGCAGACGACTCGATCCGAACGGACTACTCAGTTGCTTCGGTGTGTCGGACGGTGCTTCTGAGGTACATCACCAGGTGTGACAATAAGGCAAATTTTGCAGCGTGAAGTTGTCGTCTTGACATTGTTAGTAGTGGCATGTCACTTATTGTACTCGAAATCAATCCGCCTGAGTCGGCTGCGCCTTCTGGCTCGTCGAAACCGCTTGAGAGAAAAACACAGCGCTCTTGCAAGCATCCGTCCAGATCGCAGCAGTTATGTGTAGGATAACCATAAGCTAGAAAATGCCACTTATATAGTGTGGCGTCGTCTCGATCTCGTTGTTATCAATTGTGAGACTGCGTGAAATGTGATCAGAGACGTAATGCAAACGTATCAATTGATTGACGTATATGCATCAATAGCCTGCTGCACAAAGCGTGTGTACTGGGCGTGAGTTTACGTAGAACGTTCTCTCCTTGTCCCTCACAACTCAACGCAAAGTGGTGCAAATGCTGCTTTAAGATCTCTTCAACTCTTATAATTATGGTGTGGTAGATTCCGCAATCGATCAGCACACCGACGATCATATTACAATGTACCGCTTTACCACACATGATATCTCGAGTGAATCTTCTGCGGCTAAAGCAACCAGTAGGTGATACATAAAAGCGCAATCAATGCGACGACTTTGCGTATGGTCGATAACATGTTCCATCTGCAGAATAACGCTTTGTATGGACGCAGAAGAGACCGGGTTGGTCACGAGTTTCAACATTGGAAAGATGGAAAGAATACTATACGACATCAAACATGATTACTTGTAGTGTAAGCAAACGTTGTCGACAAGAGAGCGCAAAAGCTGCATGCGAAAATGCAAGATATATGTTCCGAATTGTGCATTATGCTACAAAGCACTAAACTATCGAGAGTTCACACCATGTGCTACTTCACATACAAGATCGGATCAATGACACCAACATTGCTAAAATTTATCAGAATCTACAAATGTCTTGCTTACGTATTTGTTCGATTAAGGATAGCCCACTTTTCTCGATCTCAATGAGTTATTTACAGTTTTGTAACTGTGATCACTCTTTTTTATCGACTACTATCGACCGTGCAAGACGCCACAACAATACTTGACATACTGCACACACAGCGAGGTAAGAGCAGAGAAAAGATACTGAAACGCTATGGAACGCGCATCAAGATAGATTGCAGACGTAGAGCTTCCTTTGACAATACGGCCCATCATGTTTTACCTCTATCACGTCACTGAAGCTGGCGTCCGTCCAGGTTGTGCTGTGGCTGAAAACTTCTTTGTCACATCTAGAATGAGCGGGATGACTATACCGATGAAGATTGTCTTGGTTGAAAGTTGGCAGGCTCTTTGATCATTCGTACAAAAGCTCATCCTCATTGACACCATGTATTGCCGAGGTCCCTACATTTCGCTGATAGTATGTGTTGTCGATAAAAATCCTTCTCGAAACTATAAGTCAAGGCTGGACTTTGGGGATGTGTGTTGCGACTCTCAAAATGTGTAGGCTATGGAATATTATACACACAGGCGGTGACACTTCTCTTACGCATTGCTCAAGCCGCAATAATATATGCACGTAGGATGTTGATCGTTCCAGATTTCATGAAAAACGTTTTGCGATGGAAGCCAATATTTCCAAAGAGTATTTCAGTGCTATCGACCTGCTCTATCTTTTGAACTAAGCTCATTTACGACTTCTGTCTGCTTCAGCTACGCACTCTCATGCGCCTACTTCAATGTCGGTAAGAAGCGTCGACATCAAGTGTACTACTAGTAAAGCGTTGATCGAGCTTAGTTCATAGATTCTCCTACAGGTTACTGATTATCTCTGCTATGATCTTTGACTCACGATTCTTCCTCGTCATCTCCGTCGCAGTTGTAGAGATAGACGACCTACTTAACACACAACCTGTGTGGTCGAAGTATCTGGCGATGGTAGTGGCCGAGTCAGCGACTTGTGTAGCTACCGACACGCGCATGGAAGAAAGCTGGCCGACTTTGTAGATGGTATTGACACCCCTCCGCTTTTCGACATCGAATGCACTCTGCAAAGAAAAATGGCGATAGCTCCAATTCGATGTCGCAATATGCGCCGGCACCCATCGGATCGATCTAGCTGTCGAATATGGCATAACAGGCGAGACCTTGACGCTGGCACGCTCCAGCTTATCCGTGATACGTGACGGATTCGTGTTGAGAGAGAGAGAAGATCAATCAGTTCTCATCTGAAGATACACATATAAGCTTCGACATTGAGGTCAGGCCACAGACCTAGGTCTAGCCAGAAGCCTGAAGGCAATACAGCGCCAGACATCAATGGCCCGCTATGCTGCGTGTTGTCGAAGCGGTCTCCACTGGCATCGCCTGTACACGCATCACGTCGCACTTGCGGTGTCTATCTCTTCGACGTCTGTACCAAGTGCCACGTCAGACGTCGATCATTGGATTTCCGACAGCAGGTAGTGCCGGTCGCGTGCTGGACATCGTGTCAATCGACGAGCGATTCCTCCGATCGATCCATCAATCGGTCGATCAGTCGGTCGATCAATCGGTCCATTGGTCGCTCTCCACCAGTGAATCAGAGTCTGTCGTCAACTACAAATCACTGCGCACCACTCGTTGTTGGACCCCTCAGCCGTTCCCATTGACCGACGGACCGACCGATTGACCGACTGACTGACTGACGGACCAAAGTACACCCACACGACCGCAACGTGACGTCAAATGCCTCCGCTGACGCTGTCGCTCCCCCCGCCCCCGACGGACGCGCTGCCGTCCGACGTCCGCGTGGGACTCGGCGGCTACTTCGCGCACAAGCGCATCGAGTCGGCCGGTCGGGCGTTCCACAAGCGCGCGCGCAATGCCGCCCGCGGGCGCTCGGCCAGCTGCGACGAGGTGGACGACAGCGTGAAGGCGCGCGACGCGCTGCGCAAACAGGAAGAGTCGGTGCTGCGCAAGTACCGGCGCAGTCTCCGGGGCAAGAACTTCCTGGAGCTGACCATGTACGAGCAGCTGGGGCTGAGTCACGTGGGCTTCGACGTGACGGACGAGCAGGTGAAGAAGGCGTACCACCGCGTGCTGATCGAGCACCACCCGGACAAGACGGGCAAGACAGACAACGACCCTAACTACTTGGCCGTGCAGAAGGCGTTTGCGACGCTCACGGACCCGCAGAAGAAGCGCGCGTACGACTCGCAGTGCGACTTTGACGAGTGGATCCCCTCGGGCACGGAGAAGATCGCCGAGACCGACAGTCGTGGCGAAGGCAAGAGCTTCTACGACCTGTACGGCCCCGTGTTCACGGCCAACGCGCGCTTCAGTGCCACTCGACCCGTGCCGACGCTCGGGGGCGACGACAAGCCCATTGAAGAGGTCTACGCGTTTTACGACTTCTGGAACAAGTTTGACTCGTGGCGCGACTTCACGCACGACTCGGAGCACGACGTGGACTCGGCCGAGCACCGCGACCACAAGCGCTGGATGGCCAAGAAGAACGAGGCGGCGGCCAAGAAGAAGAAGAAGAGCGAGTACGCGCGACTGGCGAGTCTCGTGGACCGCGCGCTGGCCGCCGACCCGCGGATTCGTCGCGTGAAACAGGAAGAGAAGGACCGCAAGGCCCAAGCGAAGCGGGCGAAGGAGGCGGAGGCCCAGCGCGTGATTGACGAAGAGAACCGCAAGAAGGAGGAGGAGGCGCGGGCGGTGCAGGAGGCCGAAGAGAAGCAGAAGGATGCGCGCAAGGACGCCAAGATGGTCAAGGAGAAGCAGAAGAAGCTGTTGCGCAAGGTCAAGAAGGTGTTCCGCGAGCTCATGGCCGCTGCGAGAGACCAGGGAGTGGATGGATCGATTGACGTCATCAAGACGGAAGATCTGTGCGACTCGCTGGCGATGGAAGCCCTGCAGGCGCTTGTGACCGCTTGCGGAGGTTCCGCTGACAAGTTGGATGCCACGGGCCTCGCTGCTGTGCACGACGCTGTCGCCAAGCTGTAAGGCGTTGGATACGGTGGCTGCAACAATGGCAGGTCAGTTCGAGGAACAAGAGTCTTTGGACTCGTACAGAAGTACCCCGTTGACCTCGTTGTTTGAATGAGTCTTTGGTCTCGTACAGAAGTACGGCGTTTGTTTGTATCGTAATGTGAAGAAGGTCTGACACGGAGCTCTGTTCGACTGCGGCAATGTTGTCGACGGTAGCAGTGGACGACTGGGATGCCACCAACCACATCGGTCAGTACGCACGCAGGTGCGTCGCTCTTGCATGGATCAGTGCCTCGCGTCATTCGTTGGTGGTAAACACACAGCTGAACGACGAAGCATCGCTGCGAGCTCTACCACGAGGTGGAATGCACCTTGCAAGTATTTTGTGGATGTCTCGACTGAAGCTGGATCTGCATGCATCCGCTGCAGGAGGCAATGCGACAGCGTGGCGAGCAGACCGTGCTGTTGTGGTGTTTGCTTACGCCAGCTTCCGCAAATTGAAGCTTTCCAGGGTCTTCATAGCCTTCTTGTCCATATGCAGGGCTCGACTTATGTCTTCATTTTTTCTGGCTTCGGTGAAAATCGTTCTTGTGCAAACTCGGCGAGCTTCGGCAGGCCTTTTCAGCAAAACTCGTCAACCCACTTGCCGTCCCCTCGTCAAACGATGTCCACTTATCATCGTCTCCAGACATCTTGCAGCAGAACATCGTGCTGACCGTCGATGAGCCGACCATCTTTTGTTGATGGGCTATTCGTTGCCGATTTCGAAGCGAACGAGCTGTCAACGCGTGCCAGAAACACGGTGGTAGCCAACAAGGTCACAACTGAAGGAGTCTTCGTCCGCCAGCCACCCCGAGTTTCTTCAGAGTCATCGAGAGTCCGCAAATCGTCAAGGGACAGTATCATTCGAGCTGATCATGCTTTCCATCGTCATCCCAACGAGCACATTCCGAAACGTCACACGGTGATTGACTGACTCTGCTTTTCGTGTCCATGACCTGCGTTGTTCCTGCTGTCGTAAACGAGACTGGTCTTGAACGGACCGCTTCGTTCAGCGTGTTGAAATGCATTTTTACACACGGACAGTCAACCGCAAATACGACGACGCTACCGAAGCAAACGTCATGCACGTTCCTGGGTATTCGTTGGTACCAACCATTCGCTTCTGAACAGTATCGTCGCATTCCGACCAGACAGTAGGAGAAGCCAGTCGCAAATAGTGTGCCGATCAGCTTGTGCCTCAACATGGTTTGCCATCGAGATAGGAGGTAGAGCTGGGAACAAAGCTGACACCACGTCCGCCAATCCCCACCATGAGCTTATGGCTGCATTTGTCTCATAATGTGTGCAAGTACTATGTCGTTTCTGGCCGCTGTTGCAAAGCCGCTTGTTCTAGCGTACATTTTGTATCGCGTTGTCGTTCGGATCCAGGTTGCTCTGCGGCAAGTACGTTCCGGTCGGTTGGAGTCAATGTCAGTCACACACATTGACAGAGCTGACATAGCCGTACGCCAGCATCAATCGGCTGGCTGGAACCGCATGAGACTGTTCCGACTATCCCTACCTGCTTGACTGTGCCCCATCGAAAGGGTGGCCAACACTCTGGGTTCGCGCGACGTCAATGGGCCGGGCAACAAGCCAACTGAGTGTTTGTGCTGTAGGTCTAACGAAAGTCGACTCTGCGAGTCGTCGCTGCATTGGGTATCAGCTAGCAATCGCTCTTGAAAGCGGTGCTCGATTGATCAAGAGCGGACGAAGATCGAGTGTGAAAAGACGGGCGTTCTGCTTGCGCCTTTGTAAGTCTCGACGGCGTACAAAAGGGACACCCATACTCCGCCAGCACAACATGCAGATTGATTGATTGCACAAGAAAGGCGACAGCGGAGGACACGATTCGGAACATGTTCAGTTTCATTGCATTGCTACGCGTTGTATACTCCTTTGTCTTACAGCACGCTTCCGTGTGACTATCGCATGCTACGTGTCAAACTGAGCGCAACCTTAGCTGGTGATTGCGTTGAATACAGAATGCAATCTCACTAGAACCCTTGAGCTGGAAAGACACATACGGATGCCGCGGAAAATGTTGCCTCAAATTGTCATCGACTGCTTTGTGGCAATGTACTTCAAACAGTATTGGCTTAGCTTTGTGTACGCAGCAGACTGATTCCTGTAATCGTAGCGCACGTGTCGAGCTGCATAAGCTGTCAGTACATTCTCGAAGAGATGGAAAGCAGCATGCCCCGCATACCACCGCGTGCCCGCTGACATCGCAAAGGAAGAATAAGTTCTGCAATCCTACTGATCCGTACTTCAGTGGTTTTCGTACTCGTCGCTGCGGGTCGCGGCCTCATTTCCATTCTCAGCGCCAGCACAATGTAGGCACGATCTATAGCGCAGATCCTGCTGAAGTACCATGCTTTGGGTACCAAGCGCTCCTCCTGACTCGTTGAGCCCGATACTAGTCTGAGCACCAAGAACACCAAGAACACCTCAAGTCCATGAAGGGATGGGAGGTGCGCGCATGTACGATGTTCAACGTTTCCATACTACATCGGGTCCTGCATGCATACCGAGACGGCATAGTTTTTCGAAGACGAAACTTGCCACCCATTGTTGATGTCGCTGAGCGCACAGATACAGTACACCAGGATTCGATTGTCCGGTGGGCCGGCATGCTGGCAACTGTTTATATCTGCATGTGCCCATGAACAAAGGACGACTTCACTTCGGCGCTATTTCTGGTCGCACTCGATCGAGCAACCAGACGCACGCTCTTCTCTTTCTCTTTTTTTGTCTGATGAATATCGATAACCAGCGCTTGTCAGTCGAATAAAGTACAGCATTGATGCTCTGTTCTCATTTTCTCGCAAGTTTTAAATCAATGGTACTCGCAAACCGGATTGCATCTTGAAATCATCGCACCAAAGAGCGGTTCAGCGATTCACATAAGCTAATGCGTCCGCTCAGTGACGAATCAAACACTTACCATTTGACAGCAAAAATAATGGAAATCCAGATGAAGTTTCGATTGCAGCCAGTTTGCGTTGCTTGATACCCTCTCGCAACGTTCAATCACATTCAATGCCTCGAATAGCCACACGAACTACGTAGCTTTAGTTTTCCGCCCGACAAGATAGACAACGTACATGTCTACTGCTGCCGCTGCCTGAACTGATCAATAGAAAAGGCTAGCTGGCTAATGGTTGAGGTGGGGTTACCTCATGTTTTATTCCCCAATCAACGACCTCACGATTACATCGAGTCAACGTGACAGACCGTGGCACGTCAGGCAACATTCGTTCGAACTGACACCGTAAATGGCATGAATGTTATTCCTCCTCCTCAACCAGGCGTGAGTATATCAGCAGCAAAATGCTATACTGAGTCGTAAAACTTAGCAACGACATTGGCACCGGTCGGTAGACCTTTTATGCCACACCCTGCACGAGCTCATCTTGAAGAGAAACGAGGCGCAAACAAGTTCCAGTGCATTGTCCACGTCGCCACAAACATCGTCGCAATGAGGTTTTCGACAGCACATGCGTGAAGAACACGGGATATCCCACGACCAAAATCGTCTGCCAAAATGCCATCAATTTCAGCGCCTTGTAAATGGAAATAAGACGTAGCAGTTGTATTCGTCCAGTGGCCGACCGCGCACACTCGATCCATAATCCTACCGAAAGGTCGCCTGTCTTCACGTCTTATTATATTTGATCCACCGTCAGTCAATCACAATTGCAAACATGCAATACCCAACAGCTATCGTGGAGCTCATGGTCAAGTCGTGTCTCGTACCTGTACGCATTGACGGCCGCCAAGTGTCACAATTCCAGACCTGGGTGGGTCTATCAGTCGATACCGTCCTTCGTCTGGCATGCTCAAAGTACAACGCTTGAGGCATGAATGACGCGTACACATGAGTACGGTACTCGTCATCAATGACATGCTGGACCTCATTCGTGTTCATCGCTTCCCTGTACTCCGTTTACCCCCACTGAAGTTGTGTGCATCCAAAGCCTGTACAGCACTCATTGTCCGCTCTACAAAAGCAGTCACTAGTGCTAGAACATATTCAGCGCACCCGAAACTCTTGGAAGTGGCTACGGCTGCAGCTTGCCCATTCAGGTGCTTTCCATCTAGCCAAAGAGATTATATCCTCCATCCTCTTGCTTGCGCTCGCCAAAGAGATCGTACGCTGCGTTACACTTGCGCCGAAAGCGCAGCACTACCGGCCGCGGCGTCTTACCAACAAGCGATTTGAATTGCGCCGTATTGGCAACGCTCATGCCGTTCACTGCGACAACACAGTCACCCGCAGAGATACGCCCCGATTTTGCGGCTGCACTGGAGGGGACACACTCGCGCACGATCACCGATCGTCCGCTCTGCTCGGCAACAAGACCCAGCGATGCACCTGAGAACTCCACCTCAAACTCATCGTTGCCTTCCGTGGAAGCTGCCTCCAGCTCGACTGCAGCTGGTGCTTCCCCGAACAACGAGTCCGAATCAGTTGCAGGCATGGGGTTCTCGTTGACCTGCAAGTCGTCACCAATAATGACCACATTCACTGACCACCAGGTTTGAGCTTCTTGTAGCGTGAACGTTGCCGTGTACCCTCGGTTGGCCTTCAGCCGAGCACTCTTGCGTGTTGCGTATATATTGCAGGCGTTTGACTGAACCGTGAAGTATACGTCGCCTGACGTCAGCAATGTCGGCGTGTAGCCGTAAGCAAACACCACAACAGCACGGTCTGCCCGCCACGCTGTCGCACTGCCTCCTGCAGCTGATGCGGATCCAGCTTCAGTCGAGACATCCAAAATACCTGCAAGGTGCCGTCTACCAAGTGGTAGAGCTCGCAGCGATGCTCCGTCGTTCAGCTGTGTGTTTACCACCAACGAATGTCGCGAGTTGTTGATCAAGGCAAGAGCAACGCACCCGCGTGCCTCCAGACCGATGTGGTTAGCATCCCAGTCGTACACTAGGTGTCGAACTTGACGCAAGAATTCCGTGTTGCTGCGGCACTCGTCCAGTGCTCGTGAATGCTTTCGCATGATTTCACCATTCGACATGTGCTCCAAGCGAAATGGAACGCCCGGCAAATTTCGACTGTTGACCATCGAAGAGCTTGATGTAAGCAATCCGGGAGCCATAGCGCCAGCAGCAGCGGCTGGATCAGCTCTGCCGCGCAACGTGGATACTAGCGACGTGACGCCACCCGCTACCATGCTCGTCACAAGCGACGTCACCTCGATCGATTCGATAAGGTTGAGCGCTTGTGACTTGACGGATTGCTCGTAAAAGCGCACAATGGAAGAGCTCAGCGACTCTTGCGTGGTCAGTGCATGAGACAGTTGATAGCCTTCTAACGTCACGCACGCGTTTTCGATCTTGATCTTGAGATTGGAGAGCCAGAATCCCTCGTTAGCACGCTTGCTCGAATCACTTTTGTTGCGCGTAAAACTTACAAGCACGCGCACGGGCGAGATTTCGCCCGATGCAATGTACAGCTTCCGGCCTGTCATCGCTGCCATGTCGACCGCACTTGTACTCTCGTCTCCTGTCTTTGGAGGCACGAAATAGGCAAGCAAGTCACATTCCTCGTCGTATGTGTCATTGCTGTTGTGTTCATCCGGAAAAGCAGCTACCAGCGACTTCTGTTGAAAGTGCGCTACCGTTTTTTGCTGCAACGTGTTGAGTCGATCAACAAAGCGCATGGATGTCGATACCTTCATGTTTTGCAGTTCCACTTTGACTCGATCCACCCACGTGTATTTCGCGTGTGGTTTTTCGAGATACGTCAGCTCAAGAAAATACTTGTCCCCACTTGCTTTCACATGACTGAGAGCGCTGTCACCTTGTAACAGTGGTCGCAGCACGACGCGGTTTTTGGACTGTGGAAGAAGGTCCTCTACCTTCAGTCCCGCGAGAGTAAGCTTGGCAGCAGTTGCATGCGGCGACCAAGACGCCTCCACGCCAATGCTTGTGAATGTCGCACGTGCCACTGACTCACTTTCATCTGCATACTTCCCGGAAAATAGACTTTGCGACTCCTCAACGATCCCGCTTTGTTTCTTGTCGGTGACTGTGACAATGACGCCGGCCACGTGTGCGTGGAGGCTAAACGTTTGCCATTTAGCTGCCCCAGTACTTGCTACCACATCCCTCGCGGATAGAGAGTCTGCCAAACTAGTAGTTGATAGACTCAACGACGAAGGAGTCGGCAGCTCGGCATACATGTCAGTCACCACCGCCACATACGAAGCCTGAGACAAGCTGCCCTTCTTCACTTCCACATTTAAGTGGACACCGCGCCCGCTAGAGCGTGGCGGCACCAACAAGTTTGCCGTACCGACGCGATCGACAGCAAAGGTTGCGCTCCAGTCATAGCCTTCACTACACAGCGTGTCAGATGCGTCAGGATTCAAAAGCACTGACGCGCGCAGCAAAGCTCGAGTGCCTCCTACCCAGTAGAGCGCATACGTGTCATTTACTCCAAGTACATGATGCGCAACGTTGTCGTTGACAGAATCTTCGATTTCTTCGTGTGGACGGACCAAAGTCTCACGCAGTAATAACGTGTGCGACGATTGATTAATGACCAGATAACGAGGGATGACACTCACAAGTGTTGTGACCGAGCCAAAATGCCGAGTTGCGTAGTCTGCTGATACTCCCAGCTCGTACAGTACGGTGCCGCCAGAAGACCCGCTGCTACCTGCCGAGCGGAGCGTAATGCACTCATCTTGCCAGCTAACCCTTTTCGGGTCTGCCTCGAATCGCGCCGACCAGGTGCACCCACGCAAGCCAATACGCACCACGGGCACTTTTCCGCTACTGTCACTTGAGTATGCACTGATTTGGGCATTGCCCACCTGGGCACGTGCTGCACGAGGTGGCATGTAAGCTTCACTGTCTGCACCTGTGCCGTACACCAACTCCAATCCCGTGCGGTTGATGACCCAAATGTCGGCAAGAAATTCCACACGTATAGGTCTAGCAGCGTAATTGACATCCCCCACCACTCGCAAAAGAAGCCGGAAAGGGCGTCCGTCGTCCACGCGAGACAGCTGTACGGACAACACCGTCCCAGTAGCTGTTCCGTGAGGCGCTAGCTCTAGCCACTTAGACGGCGACGTACAGCCTTCTACAAGCAGCTGAAATAGCGGTCGCTGAGAAATATCAGTCCACCAGATACTAGCCTTGCCTCCCGCAGCAATCGTTTCTGCTTCTGATGGAGAATCGTTTATCCCCAATCCATAAGCTGAGCTCGACGCGGACCGCACGCGGTAAGTAATTTGCACCGGTAACTTATTGACGAGAACAAGGGGCTCGGCAAGAACTATAGCACGCATCTCTTTGTCGCTCGATATCGAAGCACAGTACACAGCGTTCTGACCATCACCGTCATTTGCCACTCTCCCACGGAAGGACGAGGTCGAGGAAGCGGCTGCTTGTACCTTGAGATCGACCGCGGAAAGCGTCTGTAATGGAATAGGGGCACTCCACGAGTATGAGGCGCCATCCTCCACAGGTCGCAAACGCAGCTCTGACGCCAGGGAAAACAGCACAGGTATGGCCGAGTCTTGGCTCGGCCTCAAGATCCCGATCTCGACTGGTGATTGCCACGCTGGGTCATTCACGAGGAGCGCAACGGGACGACAGGACGTCAACCGATTGATTAACTTGATAGGTGACGAGATTATCAGCAAGATGCGACCTTCAACAAGCTGAGCCGACAAGCTTAACGTAAAGCTTGTTCTCTGCCCGTGCATATCCACTAGAGGAAAAGTGCGAGCACCCAACTGCTCAAAAATTAGTCCTTGTATGGACTGGAACCGTGCCGCACCGCCGACAGCCGTGCTTTTCGATTCCATCAACTGCAAACTGAGGCGTAAGTTTGCAGAATCTCGATCGTTAGATGCATAACGACGAACCACACCACGCCCTCGACCCGAAGCATGAATGTAACGAACATCAGCCGAGCTTTGTGTGGGCAAAACTTGCGGCTCCGTCGTAAAAGAACCATTAGTGAGCCAGAAACTCAGCGGTAGCCCAGTCTCGTTGCAGATCACACAAGGAGCCAATTCGCGTCGCTTCGTTTCTGCGTCCTCTTTTTCGTTTTCTGTGGCAAACTTCCTTGCCGTGATTGAAGCTGCTCGACGCTTCCATGCGCCGCCCACTGATGCCATGACTTCCAGCAACCCCTGCGTAATAGTGAGGTCCAGCGATTGCGACGCGGTAAGAGTAACATGCAATTCACTGTCGCTTGAAATCGACCCTTGGACTGACGTATCGAGTGCCCACTCCGTGCACATGGGGTGCCAATCACGTGTATCTGGGTTATAGTACGACACGAGCACAATCAAGCTCCCGCCACCAGTTATCGTTGTCGTCACTGGTAACGAAGACCAATCATGTTCTGAAAAGGAATCAGATACAATGTCATCCTCCCCCAATTGCGAGACGTCTGTGGCGTTCAGAAAAAGTTGACACCGCTCGATCTGCAACTGCGCAAGTCCCATGTCACATCCATCGCAGTCATTGATCAGCGTCAGGTTGACAGATGGCAGTTTGCACGTAAAATATCGATGGAATTCTTTCTCCTTTGCAGTGTCTCCCACGATAGTCCGTGACGACGTACGTGACCTTGTCCGTGAGCAAACAGTAGGACTTTCACAAAACGATACTTGGCGGGAGCTCAAACTATCGCGATTCGTGCCGCGTCGCGAGATCGCTTCATCCAGAAATTCCATCGTGTCCATTGCCAGACAAGCGTCGTCGTACGACACAAACACTTCGATTGGCGTAAAGCTCAACGCTACGATCTGTTGCTGCTGGCCCGCACGCGGAAACAGATCGCTCACTTCAACGTGCAGAGAGCATGGTTCAAGCAACTGAATCAACGGTGCAATAACGATAGCATCCCACTTTGCATTAGACGACGGAGACGCCACGCAACAGCCCGGCCGCCTGGCATTCTCTAGTACTACTTCCACATTGTGCGCATCAGCGAGAATCCTGCTCTGGATATTCAACCCACAATCTGCCTCTTTGTTGCGGTCGGGACGTGGTTTCCACGTAAACTCGAGCGTAAAGTCGCCCGCACAAGCAACGCGTGGGCTTTTTGGATCGTATGCGTCGCGCGGAAGCGCAATGCCCACTCGCTTGGCTGTCGCACGAATCGTTACTGCCAATTCTGGTTCCTTCCCATCGCGTAGAATATCCGATATACTCTCGCGCCGCGTCGACATGGATATAGCTGGCGGTGCTGCATAAGCCCTCGATGATGTCATTTGGTTTATTGGCTCGGTCAAAGCGTTTTCTATCGCAGGTTCGGCCTGACTCGGCCCTGAAGGGAGCGCGAAGAATCTGTAAAGTGCAAACAGGGCCTTCGGGATTACGGTACCTGTGACATCGGAAGAGACCAAATCCAGTTCACCCACAAGCAAAACGTCGTCCCATGTGTAGCGTATTTCCAGAGGCTGGGGTGAAATGAGCAACGTTACGCTTTTCCGGCTGCCAATCGAATTCTCGCACGCTCCTACCAAATCTCGAGCATTGAACGCTCCCAGACGCAGCGCCAAGCACGGATTCTTATTAAATTCGCTATCGAACTCCAGCGAAAAATCAGTTGCGACGACCTCGACAAAAGCGCTTTTGTCCACAGTTTGCCCGATATCTGAAAGGGTGCGCTGCACAGTCGAACCTACTGACATGTCACTGTGTGCGAATGATTTTACTTGCTCGTCCGAGAACAACAAGATTCGGACATTCTCCATAGCAAATCGCACATGAAATGTCGTTTCATCTGCGTCCGCCTGGAGATAGGTATACGTCACAGTGGGGCGTAAGGACGGTAGTACACCAGCACTGCTGCGTCTTCTACGAAGGACTCGGGCGTTGACAGTTTGGCCATTCTCTTCTGTTGCGTCAATCACGTTTTGTAGCTCGTCAGCACCAAAATTAGATATCACAAGAGCGACTATACCCAAGTAACTCGTACGAGATAAGTGCACTTCCAGCGGAGGTAAAACCGAGTTCACTGTAATGCGCGGAAGAAACACCGCTTTTGCCCCATTCTTGCCGCGCACGTTTTCGTCATCCAAAGAAATCGTTGATGACACAAGGTCCTCGATACTGATCTTCAGGTCAGCAGGATTGGGCAAAAGATCTTCGTACAAAGGCCTTCCGTCGGCATTTTTTTTCTTTTTCTTGCCTGCATTCGTTGCTGTGCAAAATATGCGGACCTGCTCGAGAAAGAGGTCTTTACAGTCCACTCGTAACGAAATACCACCACCTCCGTTGACAGGCCTGCCAGAAGTTGAGCTATCAGCTGCTTCATCATGCACAACCCGCTTACTTCTTTCCGAACCTTCCCCCTCATAGTGCACAACGCTGGATGGAAAGTGAAGTAGTCGCAGCACATCTGCGGTGACCTTAACATGGGGAGCATCTTCTAAGCTCAAGGGAAGTACCAGCGTGGGTTTCAGAACGCTCAAATCGAGCACAACACTAGCCTCATCTTCGCGAAGTATCAGTTGCGTGGCGCTCACCAGCGTTTGACTCACCATTGCACCCATGACTCCTTCGAACACAAAGTCCACAAGTTCTAAAACTTGCTGGTGATAGTATACACCACGGATTGGTTGAAATGCCAGCCGCAAAGCGCTCTTGTCGCTTGCCAACGGGTCACTGACGAACTCGAACGTCAACAACGGTTCCAGTTCTATCCCCGAGTTGCTACAGCGACTGGCTTCACGGGCATCCAGACCAAGTAAAGTCGAGTACAACGGGTGCTTCGATGTGGTCAAATCGGTGCCCACAAAGTTTCCCACGTGGCCCGTAACCTCGAACGTGTCGTCAGATGATATCTTTTTGCCATCTACACTGTAGCTGGTATAGCTAACATCTGCATTGCTCAGATCCAAGCGCGCTAGCTGCCGGTCGAGCTGGTCTTTGTTCAACGTCAGACTGAACCGAACTAGCGATGCACGCACCACAACAACAGGTTGTCCTCGAGACCGCAAACTGGACAGCGTGGCAACTCTTTCCTTCGTCTCACCGTGTCCGGTCCGACCAGTCGTCTCTAATAAATATGCCCTGTAAAACGATGATGTCGATCTTTCTCGTGGTAGCGTTGAATCGTTGGGCGATCGAAACACAGATGCATAGCCGGAAAGAATGCGATAAAACAATGCCACAGACGAAGGATTCCACTGTAAATGTAGCACATTCACCTGCACATTGGCTTCCAGCTTCGCATGCCCCCCTCCCCTATTCTGCTCCTTCTTCGCTGCAGAGTCCGCAGAAAATGCAGCAACGTCGATCGCAATCAGATAAGGGCTCTCGCTCTCATTTTCGCCCGTAGAAATCAACCTGTAAAATCGCGAATCAGAATCGTAGAGCTTGTCTTCCATGTCAAGCGTCTTGAGTCGTGCGTGGAACAGCTGATGAGCCGAGTACGCTTCGACGGCAAACGAAGTACACGACGCACGCAAGACGAATGCATCCTTCGCAGCGGACTCGCGCAAGTTTACCTCCACACATCCAAGCGAAAGTTGCATCTCAAGTAAGAACTTCTCATCTGTGGTAGTGGTAACACCAATCATGTTGTCGGGGCGTTCGTCGATGGTGTTATTAAACCCGGCCGTATCATCCTCGGTACTGGCAAGCTCTTCCTCTACGAAATATGACAAGCGGCTATCGTTGTCGCGAGTGCTAGCACTGGCTTGGATGATGGACGAATGGATCTGTCCCAGTGCCACGAGCTGCTTTTCAGTTAGCAATAACGTTATCGTATCAATGGCAGCGTAGACGCCAACTTGTGGCAGTGGCTTAGCTGCGACATCATTCTTTTTCCCCCGCGACGGAAGTCTTAGGCGTGAAGATGATGCTTGTGTTTGCAGCGAAAATACAATTGATAGCTCTTCCACTATTTCGGTAAAAGCACGTAACTCGTCGTCCGTCCATTCCACTAATTGATCCTGGCAACCGAGCAGTACGCAAATCTTCGTCATCTCCAGCCGCCAGTGCAAGCGATGCGGATCATCAGCAGCAGTACCAATGGCGGTGGCCGGAAACTTCTTGATTGGTGTTACCTTCTCTTCGTTGCAAAAGCTCAGCATGCCAAGATCGACGACAAGAACGGCGCCAGTCGTGTCGGTAACATTCTCCGGTAGTATGAGCACAGGCGCGTTCATGTTCACCTGGATGTCGTACGCAGTGCGGCCTTCTGCCTTTTCCAGTAAGCGCATCAACTCCGCTTCTTCGGCTTCCTTTTGTGCGGTATGGTCAATTGACTCCAAGATCGCCGTTCCATCGATCGGATCATCAGCAAACATCCAGTCTGCTACGGAAGATGTTGCAAACTGCCAAACTCTTTCAAGCTGCTTATCGGATACTAAGCTAACGAAGAATGCGTGCAGGAATATTACGAATGCTGGATCAACCATCACACGAATAGGCTCCGATCTCGCACGTACGTTTACCGTGGCTTGTACATCATTATCGCTCCATGCTTGGTACTTTTGCACCATTGCTCGCCGACTAATATCGATACTGATGCAAGCGGTACTCTCCTCGACCCGAGATGGTGGCAAGGCTGACGGGCTGCAGAATGAGTGAAACCGAGAATCGCTTGCTAGCCCGTTCAGAATGTCAAAGTGCTGAACGCGTAACCTGGCATCCCACTCATTTTCCGGCTGAATGTTTACAGCAAGTGACCCACGAAATGTACCAATGACAAATGGATCCTCGTGAATATTGGACTGATAAAGACCCATCGAGCCATTAACAAGCTGTACCAGGACAGACACCAGATTGCACCCCGTCGGCACTTCGTGCGAGCTGCTGGCCTTTACTACAGCATCGTTGTAGGCCTCACGCAAATTCTCACGTCCTTCTGCAGACAGCACTTGCCCCTCTTCCTCATCTTCGTCTTGCCCATCAGCAGCAACACTATCTCCACCGAAAAAATACGAGTACCAGGAGCCACCACCACTTTGGACATCTTGGGGCTTGGATTGTGCCTTTGCCGAAGCCTCTGCTTCTTCTCGTGTACGCTCTTCGGCATCTTCGACGACGTCGCGCAAGTGCAAAACTACATCGACCGGGTAGATCTCTTCGTACCGCTGTTTCAACTTGCCTTGTCTCGTCGAAGGATCCAAAGGATGTCCACTGCGCAATTCCGCGCGAAAACATTCCATGTACAACTGCAGCTCAAGCAGTGCCTTATGCACAGAAGACCATCGCAGTTTGCGGCAATGAGGCCGTCGCTGTTGACACCCGAGATGCGCATTAGCATCCGTAGACTGAACCCGAAGTTTCGACTTGCGTTGCTCGAGCACCTGGCGAGCAGCATAGTCCCACCACTCACGAGGGCGCGCTTCGGGTGTATGCAATGGCCGCCCCCTCGCCAGTGCAAAGTGTGCTTCGACTGCACGCCGACCTAAAAATGCACGCTGCAAGAACAGCACATCCTCATACTGCTCACGTGTCAAACCTCCCTGTAGCAAGCCCACTTCCGCTTCTATCGTGTACTTCGCTACTGCCAAGTAGTCCGCACTTTCGTTTTTCGTAAGCTGTACCATCAATGAGCACGGACGCAGCACCCATCGCCTTGACCTGTCAATATGTACATTACTCTCTTCACTGAGCGCGTCTACCATTTTTTGCATCGTTTTCGGGGCATTTTGGTCAGTCTCAAGTCTCGCGCTCTTGTCTGTAGCATCCAGTCGGTCCCAGTACATTCCAAACCGCGTGACTTCTGCCTTTTTATACGTAAAAGCGCTGCTCACGGATGCTTGATCCACAAACGCCTCTCGTCCCTCTTCGTCCGTCGTGAAATAGCGAAAGCGCGCGAGCATGAGGCCGCACGCAAACGGAGCGTCGGGATTAGCCACAGCGTCCTCGTACCTCAAGTGCACACCCACCAGCGTCACCTGCAGATTGTCGACAATTCGAGCCGTCAGTCTCGATGCGAACGTGCTCTCATCTTCTGTTTTCTGATGCGACGACTGCTGAGCTGGGGCCATGCGCGCGGCAAATCGGTCATGCTGTCGCAAAAGCTCACGTCTCTCGAGCTGATTCTTCTTGGCCTGCAGCATTTCTGCTGCTGTCGCTCGCTCCGTGTTAGGTATGACAAGAGCCGTCACTCCTTCGAGAGTGATGGTCACACTGGCGCTTCCCAGATGGTTCCACGGGACACGCACGAGTACCCGTGCTACGCTGCCACTGGCTACAGTCACCGGAAGCTGCAGCTCAGCCAGTGCGTGCGGCTTGAGCGTCAGGTCACGCAGCTCCAGCTCCCCGCTCCAGAGACCCACAACGAGCGATTCACTGCGGAGGCCATCGACGTATTTGCCCAATTGCGCTTCGAGGATCTGGCGATATGGGTATAGTGAGATTGAGAAAGAGAGAGAGAGAGAAACAGACAGGAAGAGAGAGAGAGGCATACACACACAGATAGACAGACAGATAGACAGTCAAGTCAGAGAGAGAAACAGACAGGAAGAGAGAGAGAGAGAGAGAGGCACACACACACACACAGATAGACAGACAGATAGACAGTCAAGTCAGAGAGAGAGAGAGGGTGTACACGGATGAGGATGAGCAACAGAAGCGGTGGGTTGCGGTAAGAGTGAGACGTACGGACGTGATGATAGCCTTAGCCATAATGCGGTCGGCCGACCGGGCGGTCGAGGCTGGGGCAGTTCTTTTCGTTTCAAGGTGGAAACTTGGAGCTGACCTGGATCAGTATCGTACTGGATATCGGTACGGTAAGTAGAAATTGATTGCCAATCTCGTTTTCGATTTCTATCCCTATTGATGTCGAACGTATATTTAGCCAGGTCGAGCTCCTAATCTTGTGTGCAACACGAAAGTACACGGCATTTGCACATTCAGTAATATGACACATTCTAGAGGTAAATTTAGGCAGGTCCCAAATCTACACACGTCTACCCTTCTAATGACGATGATAAACTCGATGTCGAGCGACTCTCGTGCACATCAGCCTAGGCATCTGTGATTACGGTACGTGTAAGAATTCGCGTGTGTGCCAGAACGAGGTCTTGCCACTGGATAAATGAGTCGTTTCGGATCAAAGTCCAACATCAATTTGTCAATAAGAAGCTGTACATCTTTTTCGATTGATGCAGGACGTCGTACATATCAGAGCATCGTAAGAGCGATGGACTCTATCTTTCAATGGACCTTAAGATGGGAATATATAAAAAGCACACCAAAAAAATTACGAAAACGATGAGGACTTTCAGTTGGGAAAAACATACTGCACAACTCACGAAGACTATCCGATCGACTATGCACATAGGAGAGCACATCGATGCATGATCACGATTCAGACAATGTTAATGGAAGTTTCGTAGCGGAAGTTTTGTAGCAAATTACAAAAAAGAGCATTTCTTGCGACTTGGAAGGTGCTGAATCAACCTTGTGTCTATATCGATCGCATAGGATCACAACATAGTGTCGGTTGACACGCCGGTGCTCTGCCACCGGACGCATAAGCTCGATGATGCAGATACTAGGATCTGATGTCCTTGTAGGCAGCAAGGCATATGTAGATTTATTAATCCGACTTGCGATTCTTGTTGCAGGTCATCTCTCTTCGTGGTGCATTTTTAATTTTTCTTTCCAATATGGTGGAAAATAGGTACGTTTTAAACACAAGCGGTATGAACAATAGAATGGATGAAAAAGGTCACCAAAGGGCAGATCACAATATATGTAAATAGGGCATCACCTACAGTGCCGTCCTGTCATGTTCATTGGGCTGTATCGATCTGGCCTTAAATGATGTATGTTTTGTAAAAGTCACCGAGTACCTCTTATAATTAACACTTTTAAAAATGTGCGTTTCTAACGACATTACCATAATACAGTCACCTCTCTCTATGAGAGATTCTCAATAAGAGACACCCTCTATATAAGGGTCACAGTGTCGCCGAACATTTTCGAACTATGTAGGAATTTGTATACCATTCTCTTTATAAACGAGTAAGATATAAGACACGAAAAAAACTCGCCCATTTGAGGTGAAAGCTCTCTTCATATGACTCACTACCCCTACTTCTGGTTCTAGAATATATACGTGGTATATGGTGTGACAGTTGTTCTAGCCGAAGATTTGCCTTAAAATTATTCAGCAACGTCATAGAACCACAGACGTGACCTAGGAAAAGACATAGAGCATGTCATTTTGGCGAGCTTATGAGGCCGATATTATTGATGACGTCATGACGACAGATACAGAAGACGAAATTTAATACCTTCGTAAGGCAATAGAAAGGTAGAAATAAGATTTAATTTTCGTATATACTCGACTACACCACTGATACAACACGTCCACCCAAGAACATCAAGCCTGTACGACCAATGAGTTCAACAAAGCGAGTATCCCTCTCTTTAGAGCAGAAGTACGAGGTCTTTCAACACTGCAAAGAACGTCCAAACATCCGCTTTTACGAAGTGCAGGCTTATGTGAGCATTCAGTTCCAGCACAGCATTAGTAAATCAGCGGCGCATCGGCTCATGGCCATGAAAGAAATCTACTTTAAGGGCTTTAACCCTAATGTAGAAAAGAAACGACGTGTAAAGAATCCTGAGTTCGAGAAGGAGCTGCTAAAATTCGTTCTCGAGCACGAAAGTGACGGGTCATCTGAAGATCTGGTCCAGGAGAAACCATACCGACTGCGAGTGAGCCATGATATCGAAGACCATGATCTCAAGCTTTCCAAAGGCTGGCTCCAAAGCTTCAAGAAGCGGAACAACATCAAAAGCCGCGCGTTGACAGGCGATGGCGGGAGCTTATGTATCGAGGATGTGCAAGCAGCAAAGTCTCAGATCCGATCTCTGATTGGACAATATTCTCCGAGTGATGTGTTTAATTTTGATGAGACAGCATTATTTTACGACTTGCCACCGAACAAACCCTATCCACGGTTCGAAACCACGGTAAGAAGAGCATAGAGTCATGCGTAACAATTGCTCTGTTCTGCAACGCAAGTGGCTCTGAAAAGCTGGAGCCCATGATCATCGGGAAGTTCAAAAAGCCAAGGTGCTTTAAGGGTGTGGAGATCGAGAAGCGTAGCATCGTATACGCTGCAAACTCGAACGCATGAATGACTGTACTTATCTTTGAAAAGTGGCTGCATCGATTTAATCTTCGAATGCATGGTAGCAAAGTCCTGCTACTTCTCGATAATGATTCCAGTCACAAGGTCCGACGAGAACTCGATAACGTCAATTTGTTCTTTTTTCCGCCTAGCATGACTTCCACTATCCAGCCGCTCGATGCAGGTACGCATTAATCTCATAATTTATATATGTGTGTCTTAAATCTACATTAATCTCCTCCCCTGCATATATGTTATATAAGTATCATCCGGTCGTTTCAAGCTCGCTACAAGAAACTTCGTATGCGATAGCGCATGAATCGGATCGAATCAAACATGGAACGCAGACTTAATGTCCTAGAAGCCATTGAGTTTGCAGGTGAGAGCTGGAACATTATTGGCGGGGAGATCATTCGAAGTTGCTGGATCAAGAGTGGGATCATCGAAGCGCCACAATTTGCGGATTTGCGTGCGCAAAACGACTATCGACAGTCGAGCCTTGCCTTTCAACAAGACTACTTCGGTCTAGGTAATATGTTTCAAAATCTTGGTGTAACCGTTATCGTGGATGATTATGTCGAAATCGAGGACTACGAGCAGATTCACGAAGAACAAGAAGCTGTAGCAGAAGTGGAGCCCGCGGGAGTCAAAAGCGAAGAATATCAAGCACCTGTCAGTGCAAAGAAGCACTAACGTGCTGCCTGCTTTTGCGTTCGTACTTCATACGCTCAGATGAGGACACGCGAATCATACAGTCAGATCTGGATAAGATTTTGTCGGTTATTCGCAAGAACCGGCACGCTAGGGCGAAACAGCTCTACATGAGAGACTTCATATCGTAGAAAAACGTTACATTTTATTATAATCGGCGGGGCATTCTTTACTCAAAATATCATGCAACTTCTTCCTTTCAGATTCTCTATAAGAGACTTTTTTATAAGACACGCTGTAAAAATTGGGCAAAAAGTTGTCTCTTATAGAGAGGGGTGAGTGTATACAGATCATTGACGGTCGACCGCATGGTGGTGGTAGATGAAGTCTGATCTGATGAGCCTCCGATATGGACGCAGAGTTCAAAGTGAGCATTCGATGATGCTGCGTAGAATATGGACAGGTAAATCTTCGTAACATCGCGTGTAGCAAGGAGACGCGAAAGATAATGGAAGACGACCCCTCCACGCACCTCGGTACGCAAGACGGCGACTACCTGATCAAGATATCAAGATGGTGTATCATCTTGGCGATGGATGTAACGGAGATGCGCAGCATTGGACATATAAAGCTTAAGTACATGCTGATTCAGAGAATGAGATTGACGCTGATTAAAAATGCTGGCGTGGTGCTGAATTTAAAGCTGGTGGAGGGAGACACAAGCACGAAGCATGTACTAATTTCTTTGATCCTTCAGCATCAATAGCTAGTAAAGCATTTGAAGTGATGGTGGTCGGTTGCACGGTATGCGCCTATGTCACTGACTTGCCAATCACAGAAAACTAGGCGCGGCTGAAGAAATCCCAAAGCTTGGCCTCTGAGTCGAGATTGAAGAAAGGGGCGCCGCCATTGTTAACCGTGGCAGATCATACTTCTCAAGGGCACTGCATCACTTCCGGTAGTCTGCGTTGCAATGAGTAGAATTGGAAACTATAGGGTAACATGTGAAACGCGGTCCATAATTGGAGATTGTGAACGACCGAAAGCAGATTTTTGAATTCTCAGAGTCAGTCATTAACTTTGTGACCACATTTGCATTAGTCGCGTTTGTACTTGCCATAAGGTGAAGATGCCTTCGTGGTACTGATGCAGCCAAAACAATTGAGCGTAAAACGTGCGGCGGAATGCACAAAGCGAGGTGAAGGCGTTTACCACGAGATATGCCACAGTAGGTGCAACCGCTTTGCAGATTCCGAAAAAATAGAATTCGTAGCCGCAGCAAGTACCGTGTCTCAAGCCTAAATTTGCGTCTATTTAGCGTATGATTCCCACAGCCAAACGCGCTGGCGGAACTAAAAACGTTAATCCAGTCTGCTAAAGAAAGGTTTTAAAGTCGGCAAGTGATAATATTGATCAATCTCGGCAAGAAATCGTCTAAATAATGAAGACTGTGCATTTTTTCGAGCGAATCCGATCTAAACAGGAAGGACCAATGATCTACGCGAGACTGCGAGAATGTATAGCAGACGCGGGTTGCATATAAACGGTGAATCGCATATAAACCACATCAACTTGGGCAATATGTGTATGTATACGATGGCCGTTGGTAGCCGCCAACATGGCTAGTCACAAAGTTGCCGACCAATAATGTCACGAGAAATGCCACCAAGGTGAGCGTAAACGCTTGTGCACAATAGAACGGTGTCGATAATACGAAATGTTATAAGTTTCCGGAGGGTGGAGAGCACGGCTGGTTCGCAAAGCGACGGAAAGTGATGTGTACGATTGTTTTGTCGTAAAGAGTCCAGAGGAGGTCACTACTGAGGACATAATTTGTCGAGTGATGAACACGCGCTGCCGTCAAAATGTAACACAGCCAGCTTCATT